GAGATTAAAACCATGTGCCACGCTGTAGAAAAGCTTCCGAATTCAATGACTCGATTTCATGCCAACATGGGGCAACCCTACGCAAGGTCCCGGGGGACCCGGAGAGCTCTGGCAAGGCGCCTCCTGTGAGCAAATGTGCCCTGTTGCTTCCGGCAGCTCTGGCCAGAGAGGGCTGAGCAAGGGACCTGGGCTCACCTCCACTGCTGCTCTGTGCCAGGTATTCAAGGGACAGAGGCTGAATGACAGAAGGCGGCATTCTCTAAGTAGGCTGAAGACAAGTCTCCTCTCTCAAAACCGTGCATTCAGCCATGTTTTAAAATGGATCAACATTAAATGCTTTATGTACTACCTCAACACTGCAATTTCCATAAATCCAACCTAGTTCCTATGGTTTAGAAGGTCACTGCACAGAAAAAGTTGACTTTTTAAACTGCGTGAAATCTCAGGTCACTAGCAAAGAGCTGTAGCTTTATTAAGAGTAACCAAAACCATTTACACTTTTAAATATGCGGATTCATATACTCATATTCAGCTCAAGAAGTTCATGCCGAGTATCCGTCCACTGAATTTCCCATTCCCTGAACATTAGAGCAGCGTTACCTCATTGCCTGAGAGCAGGCGATGTTTCTCATCCTGACCTCAAGATGCTCTGTTCCACAGTAGCCTATGCCTGATGCCATGTTTTCTATTTCCTCATAATATAAGTTTTTCTTAAAGGAAATACATCATGGACTAAATAAGGCACAGAAAGAAAAAAATTTAGAAATTCTTCTTTATTATACTGAAAAATATTCAGCTTCCTAGGCAGCTCTAGCGTGAAGTAATACCAAAGAGTAATTCGACCCACATTCCATCTCTGGCTTTAGTGCGCTAGGGCCAAGTGGCCCTGTGAGAGTCATTAGCTGCTGTCATTTCCTCGCCGCCCCAAAGGCTGGCTTAGCGCTCTCCTCCCCACCTCCGGGGACAACTCAGGGCAAATGAGATAAGGGTCTGGCAGGCACTTGATTTCTTTGGAATCCAAATGATACTCTCATAAGCTCAGTTTTATCAGCATAAGTGCTATGAATGTGGGCAAGAATCTGCTAACCTCACCTGTAGAGCAAAGAGATGGCATCTGCTACACCTGGTGTTTTCAGAGAAAGGGACGTGCTCGTGGGGCATGTGGTTTGTGTCTGTGAGCAGCCTCCTGAGCTCTTCTGACAGCGCGCCCTGGAAAGAGGGCGTCTCTGGGAGCCCCTCCTTAACAGACTCCTCCCAAAACCTTCTGCGCCTCATCTGAGAATTACCCAGCCCCGGGCAGATAACTTTTCCTTAAGAATGCTCCCAGAGGCTCAGTCAAAAACATCCCCCCACCCAGTTTCTGAAATGAAATCAAATTCCATGATAACAAGTAATTCATAACAGACATCATACATTAAGTCACAGGCAGAACATGGCTGAGTAACCTCCCTTGACAGATGGATCTCCCTGTGTCATCAGGGGCTGCAGAGACCTGAAAAATGTACGGTGGAAAGGACCTTGAGACATAAGAAAAGTTCCTGCCATCTGAGGAAGAGAAGGGGGTTTTCTGCTTTGGACTCCATTCAGAGAAACTGTGTTTTACAAACTGACTCAGGAAAGAATGCAGTTTCCTGGTTTTCAAAAGGCATTCTCCCGAACCATCTACCGAACCCGAAATGGTCTACCAGAGAAGTATAAAGAGGGAGATGGCCGCAGGAAACCTTCCCCGCAGAGAACTCGCAAATGCAGGCGTGGGAGGGAGCCGACACGCGCCTTCTCTTCAGAAGGCCTTGTGGGTGCATGTCCTCCCCAAACCCCAAACGCTCGCTTATCTTTACTAAGCCTCACATCCTGTTTGTTCTCATCCCCAAAGCAGACCCCAAGGGTGGAAGATGACCCACTGCAACTCTATGATCTGAGGAAGACACTTCATCCCTTTTTCATACTTTCAAGCCTATTAAGGACGGTGGTCTCAGTGAGGGGTATAAAGCAAATGCGCACCACACCCACTTAGAAAAACTGAGTTTGGGAGTGGCATCACTTCAAGATGGGTGAGCATCATGAATGTTGAGCTGAGTGATGCCGAGTGACAGAATATCGTCACAGCTTCACTCAGGAGCATCAGGAGACGCCTCCACCAAGCTCAGGTGGGGACAGTGGCTGCCTTCGCAGAAGTGGTCCTGAAGGGCTGACCTGGCTGCGGAAAAAAGCTTAGCGATAACGCATCAGATGAGATGAACAGAAATTAGTGAATTACTTCCACGGGTAAAATATCTGATAGGCAGTTCCTCAAAAACTCTAATATCCCAGTAAACTCCCAGGCAGAATGATCAATTTCTGCAAACCTACACTTTTCTCTTAGTGATTTATTCTTCCTCTTTCATCGGATACAAATAGAGTTTGCTGTTTTAATGGCAACAGCCCTTCAGATCACGCCTGATTTTACTGCAGGAGTAATGCAGGCTGGGATCCCGGTTCACATAAGCCTATCAAGCCAGAACAGATCTGAAGCAGAACTAGTTCTGCAGTTCCTAACGCCAGGAGAGAGCCTCATTTCTGTGGCAAACCTGCGGATTCTGGTCGGCCGTGCCCCGGGGGACCAGGGCTGCACTGGGGGCTAGCACCCAAATTCTCCACGTGTGAGGAGGCACCTCAGGAGCCCCTTACCTCATCCAGCGGGCATTTCTGGATTCCCATCACCACCCATTTATATATAAACTGCACAAAAAAACCAAGTCAGCATTTCTTCTTGGAACAACCTCCAGAAAAGTCTAACACACCTTCCAAAGGCAGAACTTTTTACATATATTCATCTCTTTGGCAATGTCAAATAAGCTTTAAAAAAATAAACTTTCAACTCATTTCTAGGTAAACCCAGACCAGATCCATGAGGACGTACCTGGGAAGAACGAATTTTGGGCCTGACGGGCCCACAGCTGCAGTGGTGAACCTCAGCCAGGGCAAGTCTGCAGAGGAGTCTGGAGAGCGCGGCCCCTCCCCTCGACCTGAGCTTCTATTACTTCCTATAACTATTAAGAATTCTTACTATAATTCTTATGTAAACTGTGTATTGAAATTACTCAATTGCCTCAATTACTATTTTTTAAAAGAAAATAATCAGAATTACTCTAATGAAATGTTTCCAAGTTCAAACTTTATTTTCTTAAGGCTGTGGGGTGGGGCCGTGGGAAGAGAAGCTATTAAGAACTAAAGGCAGGAACATGTAATTTATCTTATTCCTCACTATTACTACTGGCAAGAGATACGTGCTGAACACTAACACACTGAGCTCTGAACAGAATGAAATGAGACATTGTTTTTACTCTTCAGTGCTGATACTCAAAGCATTTGAAGTTCTAGGGCTTATTATTAAGTGAACTCAAAAGATGGAATAAGGAACAACTGATTATTCAAACTAGAAGGATTTTGAAAATAAAATCCCTGTAGAAAAGCAGTATCTTAAAACCTACTTCACTTGTGTCTTGGAAATTACATTACATACCACAAATTCTTCTGCAAACTTAGTGAGAAAAGTCTAAAGTCTAGGACTGTAAGAACTGCCATCTGAAACAGGCAACTGTCTTCTCTGCCATCAGTCATTCGCAACAACGGAGAAGTCAGGGCACTTCCTCCCTACGAATGAGCTTTGCAAAGGGCCCCGGCATCTCACGGCCAGGACGAGGGTCTTGCCCAGGAAAGCACAGCTCGCACGAGGCAGTGAGAAACCCAGGAATTCTGAACTGATGATGGTAAGTTAAATGAAAGCCCTATTTATCGTCAAGTACGTTTTCTTTTAAGTTGGTCTCTCATTCTAGAAAAAGAACAGAACAGGCGCTCCTGTCAGCCAAACAGAAGACTTGGTCGAGACGAATGCCCCGGCTTCTACGGAGCACATCTGTGCATCATGTAAGCCCAGGATTCCAGCTTCTCCCGTTAATTTACTTCGTAGGTTTTTTTTACTTTATCAAGGCAGAATCAGGGGATACTCCAGGCCAAGACTGTAGACCTTGATACAAATCAGTCAGCACTGGTGCAGGCCCAGCCCAGGGCACACTTCCTGTTTGTTGTGTTGGCCCAAAAGTCCACTATGTTTTTTCCCGTAAAATAAAAGACACGTTCTTCATTTTCACCAATAACTTTATTGATTTGAATATTTTGAGTATGTCGGCTATCTTCCCCTATTGGCTTCTAGTATAGGCCAGAATAGTATACCCCACAGCGAAGAGTAATTTGGCCAAAATGTCAGTAGTACCAAGAAACTTTACAAACCACTCTGACACATTCAGTCAGTCACAGCACCTTCTCCATACACTGCACAATTTTTTTTTGCATTTCAGTTGTTTTTACCTTTCTCAAAATAGTAAAGCATAATATGATGAAAAATGTGTATTTTCTTCCATCTTCAATATTATAATGGCTGCACAAAATGTCACCAATTTTGATGTTTTTTTAACCTCATGCTGATATGACAGCTGTCACAATATAATCTAACAAAATTATTTCAAATGATGCTAAAGACAATCAAGCACTCCTAGAGCCATTGTATGGAAAAAAACACAATGGACTTTTGGGCCCACACAACAGAAGGCTCCTGGGGGCCAAGGTGGAGCAGGCCAGTGCCCCTCCCTGCTTCATCGATCAAATGCCTCTGCTTTTACGTGCCAGAGCTCTGTGCAATACTATGTCAAAATAATAGGTTCTTCTCCTTAATATAAAATTAAAAGGCTTAAATGCATCGTCCAAGACACCCTGACAGAAAACCGGGTAACAGCACTGCGAAGGGCAAGTGATTTTCTGGAATCCTCAGGGTCAGCGTCTTCTAACCCTGACAGCCCCAAGACTTCACCCCTGCCCCTGAGTCCTGACCCCACTCTCAGCACATGGCAGCTGTCTGAGTCTGCTGATGACACCTGTCACTGACAGATAGAAAGAGGCTACTTCACATTAGGCCGCAGCAGAGCTGCATTCTCGCCCCCTGTGAAAGGCTGGGTGTGACTCACCTTATCACTGTCCAGTGTGTTCTGAGACGTCCGGGAGGCGATTGAAATTGTATCGGGCTGGCTGCTGCCATCACCTTGGCTGTCCAGGTCCTCTCCATCCCTGGAGACACAAGACACGCTTTGAATTTCTGACTCTGCTAGAGTCGTTTTTCAAGACTGGTGAAGATCATCCTTCAGTCATTGGAGGCAGAACAGATGTGTTTAAAGACATGCAGGTGAGTCTCTGTGACTGCTGCTACCCCACTGCACTCACCCAGGGCTGATCATGCTTTACTAACACAGGCTTTCTGCCAGGCCCTGGGTCAAGCATCTAACCTATCTCATTCCATTCGATTTACAGAATAAAACACAGTTGATGTGATTATTTCCAGTTTAGAAATGGGAAACAAAAATGGCCACTGTGACTCACCCAAGGCCATGTGCACGATTTACACACATGCCCGGGCTCACCCTGGGGTGGGCAAGGGAAGTGACCGGGGATTTGTACCTAGCCCTTCAGTTACTTTAACCTGCAGCAGGATCTTGCCTTGACAAAGCGATGTTGTTGCTAAGGATGTGACACATAAATGGTATTTTAAAAAATTCCTCAAAACGTGTGACAACTTCTGTAGAATATGGAGTTAACATCGCCTGGGTCCTTCCCCATTAAATACACAAACTTGCCGAAAGTTCCGCAGCACACTCACCTCCTGCCCTTCTGTCTTGTGGCCGGGGCTGTTTTGGGGATGTGAATGGGCTCCTTCAGGGCGCCTTTCAGGTGGATGGTCCGCTCCTGTATGACTTCCCGGATGTGCTTGATCCAGTCCTGCTTGTTTTCTATGCTGGAGGCCTTAACGAGGTGTGAGAATGCATCAGGACGCAGAAGGGACCCTTCCCGGATGCTGCACTAAGCACAGGCAGGTCTCCTGCGTTCCTGGGGCTTCCCTTTTAAAGAACACCTTCCCGGCAGAGAAGCAACCACATCCTACGTGTGATGTGCCACCAAGCCCATGACGCTTGTTTCGAGTATTTTTTCATCAAAACCATTTTTATTTTATAGCACTTATATTATCTCAGATCTCTGGATATTGCAATCATCAATCATTCCCTGGTCCCAAGAAATTTAAAGCAGCCCTGGGAAAATACGAAAACACAGCCACCCCAAACCGAAACTTCTCTACAGCTATTTAGGTCAAGAGTAGTGGTCAGTGGCTAGTGAAGTGTCAATGGAACTGCACTAATGCCCACAAGTCGTGTTGGCCTGTCCGCTGGACTCATTGAACAGCTGCAGTGGCCACATCACAGCACCTGCATCCTCTGCTCACCCCCACGAGCACCGTGTGGCATCAGGCCCCCCTGTGCTCGCGGGACTACGGTGTGGACACCAAGTCACAGTGCCCACAGGTGAAGGAGCTGGAGTTCCAAGAGTGCATGACAAAGCCTGCCCCTAAGCTCTGCATTAATGTGCCTCTGCTCATAAATTAGAATGAACCACTAGAGTAACCTACTGCCAATTCCACATGGATGGGCCTCGACTTTATTACAACTGTGGAGGAAGACTCTCTGAATGTGACACATAGTAGATACTCAATCAGCATCTGCTGAATGAACACACATGGCATCACTTTTCCCACATTTTTTTCCTTTCACTGTGCCTCAAAGGAGGTGGTTTGTTTTTCCTTTTTACATGTGCTGGGCCTTAGTAATAGTTTTTAATTTCCTTATGGAAAACACCAACCTCCTGTGATACAAACAGAATTCCCTGTAAATGATTAAAACAATCACCAGTGGGATTTGTAGATGAGATCACAGAAGGGAGGGGAACCCACCACTTTCTCATGGTGGGCCTTGTTTTGGAAATGAGAAAGCCGAAGCCCATGGTGGGACGGGAAATTAAAATTGAGAACTCTCTAAATAAAATGCTCTCCCTGGAGCACATGTCTGTAAAGTCACTGTGGGGCAGTGGTGGGGGAAGAAAGGGTAGGAGGAGCCTACTGCTTCCATCACAGACCCGCTCCGAGGAGAGCAGAGCAGTCAACCCGACTGCTTCGGGGAGGGAGGTAGGGTGGCTGGGGCACAGGGGCATGTGTCTGTGAAACAAGCATCTCAGGCCGGCACTTGGAACAGGCAGATCTCCTGGAATCTAAGAGGGGGATGCAAGTTCAGGAGAAGGAGCAAGAAGAAGTACCCGAGGAAGGACCTGCGGCCGTGCTGGGAGCCGGCGGAGAAAAACTGCCGCCACGGCTCAGCAGCACAGACAGTTCTTACGCCAGACAGCAAGGTCATCGCTACGTCCATGGAGGGCAGATCTCCTAGCAGTCTCAATCTGTTCAAGGGAGGATTTAGAAAGAAAATTCTCCCTTATGGACGATAACAATAAAAAGAAAAAAGAGGCCACAGTTTTGTGTTACAGTTCCTGGGCCATCGCCCTCAGGGCCGCCACCCCATGACCACCACCTCCTCTGGCACCACCACCACCTCGCTGCTGCCCCCACCGAAAGCTCCACCACCTTCTCAACCATCATGACCATCTCTACCCCCACCGATTCCGGAGCCGCCGTCACTGCCATCTGCACGGCCGCCACCTCCACCACGTCCCCACAGAGCAGTCTCTGAAGTGAACGTGGACACCATTCCCTTTAGTCTTTACTTGGAAGTCAGAAAAATATTACTCAAAATTCCCTAGAAAACCTTCATCTGGTAAAGCCCACAGGAAGTCTCATTCTTCAATTGCATCATGAGCATTTTATCATGTCCTAAGTGAAAGTAATCCATATCTGGCCACAACATCTGGCTCTATTTTTTAGACACACCCTTTGGCATTTGTTGCTACAACTAATCTGGAAAAACACTTAATTTAAGCTGGAACTTTTAGGTCTTCAGCATGGTTTAAAATTGCATGACTCAGAGAAGTTCGGTCATCTAATATTTAGTTAACGGTACAATTAATACTTGACAGGGCTTTGTGCCACTACTGACAGGATCACACTGGTCTGGTAATCACATACCCACTGCAAAAACAATTCATCCCTTCTGCGTGAACAAACACCTCAACGCGCAATGGCGTAACAGTCAGAGGTCATGAAAGTACAGGCTGCACAAGAGTGACGCGCTGCTGAACCACCAGGGGCACTGGAAACACCAGAGAGGTTAAAGGAACGCACAAGAAAAAATCGCTGACACCAAGTTCACACTCCAGAGTCCCATTGCGCTTTTGGCTCATCTCCCCAAATCCTACAAATCTCTGTCTACATCTTCCCCAGAACATCCTTCAGTTGACTATGGTCTTCCCAGACAGCTCAAAAAAAGACAGTCCCATCTGTATTTTCTCAAACACAAAGGGAGGGACGTTATTTAAGAAACTCCTAAGAGTCCTCTGCCATGCCTAGGAGACGCTAGGACGATCAAAACAGAGCTCAAATCAAATATTCCAAGGTATTTCCCTCCCCCAAAGACTAGGTACCTCAAAGCACCCTTAGTGTTTTTTCAACACTTTAAATCAAAGCATTATCAAAAACCCTATACCTGATAATTATGCCCTAACTTAACCCTGTGCCTCCAAACTGGGAAGTGAAAGAGCCTTAAGCTGCATGGTGACTCCTGGCATGTTCAACCTCGAAACTCTCAAAGGCCGTCACAACTCCATCGGGTGCCCGTTTTCTTCTGGAAACCAGAGGTCGAGTGTGCAGTGCCAGCTATGAGTCCATGTCTTTTTCCTCCTCTGTCTTAACTTCCTGCATCTCTTAGGAGGTGTACTAGTTCTTTTTAAGATTGGAAGTAGGGGAGAAGTTTGAGGACTTGCTCCATTCGATCTTCACTAGGCAAGCAAAAGTTTAGTTCATGTTATTTCAACCCTGGAATACCGAACTGAATGTGTCCTACCCTTCTTTCTGTGGTGCTCACTGATCCCAACAGAACATTAAAGAAAGACATAACACGGTATGAAAATCAGTGTGTTTCAGCCACAGGGGAAAAGCACAGGCTGCCGTGATAAACTTCTCCCACAGCACATCCCCGAGCTTCCAGTGAACTCACCTTAAGGACAATCTTATTGTCTGACGTTGGCGTCCTCCCCACCCACAGTGCAAATTTGCAAGGATCTCCTTCCACATGTTCTGTGACTCCCAACTCTGAGGTCTGGATAAAAAGACAAGTGTTGAGAGTACAATTCAAAGACCAAAACAAAAACAAAACCAAACAAACAAAAGACCCCCACAAAACGTTTTTGGTGTCTTGTGGTCATGCTAGGTTATAACAACATAGTTTGTTAACATGTTAATAGGAAATCTTTAGGCCCCGTTTTAGTTAAGATGAGGAAATTTTGTTCTTTGGCTAAAACTGTGGGTTTTATCTTTTTTATTTTCTCTGAGCACCTTTACTAAAGATTTTAATGCAAGTCAACAAGTAAATCCAGAGAAAGCAAAGCAAAATATCTGAAAACTCTATTACCTGGAAAATCAAGAGTGGACTAATTTCAACCTAATAAATAACAAAATGAGTTTGTTCTAGTTGTAAAAGCTGCCACCTTCCATTTTCAGCATCAATCGAGTAGCTTCACAGAGGGCAAATGATGTGCAGTTTGTTTATCGATAGCATTACCTTTTAGCATTTCACTCATAATTATAAGGACTAGAGACAAAACTGTTCTCTGTAATATATGCAGCTGTAAGATGCAGAGCATGGAAGAGTGTAGGTGAAGGCCAACATCTTCAGCCCCCACACCCCACCACAATCAAGTTCACCCCAAACGCATTCTTCTCTCTCCAGCAAAGGAAGTGATTCATAAGCTGTAGCTCCAGAGGTGGCCTCTGAGGGAACCCTAACTTTTAGAAGATAAATTAAGTGAAGATGTATCAGCTTCTAAAACAGACTAGCGTGGTCTCGAAGGATAGATTAAAGCCAGCTAGTGAAATTACTAGCCAGCAACGCTGCATTTTTCCTTTGCAGTTAGAACATGATCTAAAATGATGTCAGGTGGGCTGCGATCCAAAGGACAATCTCAAACCGGGTGTCGGCCAAAGAAAATGGTACGAAAACCATTAGCTTGAACTTGCAAAGCCCAGATTATTATTCAGATGATTTCTACACTTGGTAGTATTTTATTACTTTGGGAATTTGATGAACATATGGATATCATAAAAATGTATAATGTATAAAATATACCTTATCCAAATTCCAAACATCTACCAATATTTATAAGCAATCTGCCATACCTTGTATCAAGAAACCAAACTCTGCTGCATCTTCTATTCCTTCTCTGATGGTGACTTTTCCTTAGTTTCGCCCAAGCCACCCGCTGCCTGACACTGCCCAGCTATTTGTTTGGTGACAGTCCCCTGAGAGACTGCTCTCCAAGGGAGGAAGGAAAGACAGTGGGCCCAGGGGACACTGTGGGCCTGAGACTTCTCGGCGAGTCCACTGTGATTCTACAGAGACTGGTTGGGCGTGCTACTAATGAGAAAAAGGACCAGGTATGTTTCCCTTGCCAGGAAGTACGCTGACAAGTACGAATTCAAACGTCTCGCTGTACCTACCGAGCACCCAAGGGCAGCTGTCTCCGAGTGGGTGGGACTGCAGCTCTTTAAAACTGGTACTGCTTACATACACTTTCCTCCAATAATCATATTTTGCTATTGTTAACCCATATATTTATTCATTATACACGTATTTTTAGTGAAAAAAAATTCAAATCTCATCATTAAGATCCCATAGTGAGCCACCCGGTAAGGCTGCTTAAATATATTCCAGTGTTGGTAAAGGAAAACATAATAATATGAGAACTTACAGCCTGATATGATTATTTTATATGTTTATAAAGCTAGTAAAAGTACACAGGAGGTAAAGGATTTAAATTCACTTAGAAAGTGTCTTCTTATCCTGTCCTTAGATTTTTTGGAATTTGGAAAAGACAAGTATCCTAAGTCTAGGAGACCAAACTCATGAGCGCTCTCTAGTGGACCTAGGCCGTCAAAGAATTTCACTGAAGAAGATGAAAACAGGACAATTTCGGACTCTTCATATTTTAGGATGGTTGGGGAGGCTAAGTGACAAATAGTAATTTTCCCTTGTCTATAGAAAAGTTGCAATTATGTGACCTTTAAACTTAAAATTCTGCGTGTCTATACTTACAAACAATTTGCTTTTATAAAGGTACTTGCTTCTGCCACTGGAATCCTTCACTTCTTTACTAAACACCAAGGACATTTCAAAAAGGAAGAGGTGCCGCTCTCGACCCTTTCGAATTAAGGTTTTTGGGTCCCACACCTGGAAGGATTCCTGCAGGATGAGTTCTCCCTGAGACTCAATGTTTTCATCAAACCCTGCAACGTAAAAAGAGGAGACACAATCAATTTAAAACAAAAATGAAAAAGACAGCACTGGGACTACTTCGACATTTGGGAAACGTTTATCGATTAAATGTTCAAAGACCGTTTCCTATTAGGGCCCCTTCACTCCAGCCTCCCCGGCAGCGACCCACCCACACAGGGCAGCTCTTCCTGAAGCAAGTCTTTATATGTATTTTTCCGCTGTTCAAAAAAACCTGCAGGGTTCCTCTTGGTTTATTCTTCAAGTTCTATCTCCTTAGGGTTCTCACCACCTGGGACTGGCTTACCTCTCCACCCCTCGTTGCCCCTCCCCCACGAACTCCACCACACTGACCTCCCCCTCCACCCAGAGTGGGTCCCTGACTTCCCACGGGCCCTCACCTACTCCAGCCCATCTTGAACCTCGGCTCCCTCAGCCTAGAACACCCTCCCCACACACCCCACAGCAGTTCCAGGCACTCTTCAAGGCCTTGGCTAGCCTTCTTCCTGGGAAATGTCCCTGGCTACTCATCTTTGGGCGAGTTCTCCTTCCTCTGAATACAAAATTCTTCCTGGCCCTGGCCCCTGGCTGGCTCGCCCTAACATTCATCTCTTCATGGAAGTGACCCATTACATGGACTTGAACATGCCCGAGGCAAGCAGGAGCTGCTGGTTATCTCCCAGGTTCCACTCTCCCCCCTTCCCTAACAGCAGAAGCCCCCTTCACAGATGCTGAAAGAAGCACTGCATCTCCCCAGCTCCCTCTGCAGTTCGGGGTGGCCACACAGCAATGCTCAGGCCAGGAGGGGACAGTCACATGTACAGTGTGTAGTTTCTGCCCTTCTAGCTGTTCCCTGTCCTCCCTCCCCACCACTTCCTGCTAGACGGAAGGTAAATATGGTCTCCACGCATCCTGAACCGAGCCAGCCAGACAACATCCAAGGAGTGCAGAGAAACGAGTTGGAACAAAGCCCGAGCCCAGGACATCACGAAGGGCTGGCGCACCAGCTCAGGGTTTCACACCAGAGAAAGAGCCATGTCGCCTGGCCTCTGATTTGGGGGTCTCTGCAACAAAGAGCAAACCGCACCCCTGCCCTGACTAGTGTGCTATCAGGGCTAGAGTGATAACAACACTGGCCCCCACAGGCTTCTTATAAAGATATCTGTGTGACCTGATCATGAGAGCTATGCTCTGTAACACGGAACGAGCTTTCGTGAACACAGGCATTCACAGAAATTATAACTGTGACCCAAATTTTTACATGCATTTATCTGACTCTCTACTGTGTTAGACACCACATTGAATTGCACAGGCAGGTATATGGTACCTGCTACGTTCAAGTCTCCGGCAAGTGATGCGAGGAACACAGAGATGAGGAAGCAACAAGCTCTTTCAAGGATTTTATGGTCTTGGGGGACTGACCTACCTGCCTTCCAACCACCCACCTATCACAGAGACCAGGTAGGCGAAGGCAAGAGACCCAAAGTGCCCCTGCGCTCAGGGTATGGAGAAGGCCATTCTGCAGGAGTGAACAGGGACAAGCGTTTAGAGAGATGGAGGCGGTTCATGTGATTTTTATGGGAAGCAGTGAACCCAGTCCGTTAAAAAAGAAGACATTCAAATCTAGACTCTTAAATCTGAAGTGAACACAGAGGCACGAAGCCCGGATTTTCAGGGCACGGGAAATCCCTTTACAAACGTCAGCAGAAAGCAGGCCAATGCGCTCTGGGGGTGCGGGGGTCCGTTACCTTCCAGCATGCTGAGGTGCATGGCGTCGTTGGCCCGCTTGGGCACGCTGAGCATCACCTCCAGGCCGTCTTTAATCTCCCCCTTTCCTTCCTCACAGCACGTGAGCAGCTCCTGTGGAAAACCAAGCCCGTGAGCTGGCCCCAAACTGCGAAACTCTACCACCATGATCTTTGCGGAAATGAGAGTCCACAAAGATCCATGATTTTCAAGACAAAAAACAGACTGTGGTCTACTGGGCCTATATTCTCATAGAAAATGAATCACTGCCCATATATCACATCAGAGTATACCAGGGATAGTCAAAATTTAACAAAATTAGTGTGCATGTTAACTATCAAGCCTCAAAAAAGGTAAATAAAAAGATTAATTAGTAGAGCGGAGCACAGTCAGCGCCGGGTTGTATCTGAAGGTCACGCCAGAGTCCAGCCAGTGCAGCTGTGCTTCCTGCGGGCTCCCAGCAGGTTTTGAACCTCTGGTGCCATTCGCACAGGGCCACCGGACCTGAAACCGCCACACTGCACAGCAGGGACAGTAGCGCTGGGGGCACGTCCGCAGTGGAACGGCTTCCCCGTCGTGTGGGCGATGTTTGGAAAAACTCCAACGACGGCATCACACTCCCGGGTGCGAGTGCACCTCAGATCTCAGCGGAACAGCATCGGCGTGAAACGAACATGGCAGGACAACAAATCCGGATTCTTCTGCAGTCCAAGATATCGTACCAGTGTATTAATGACTATTGATAGGTCAGGGACAGTATCAGCAGCTTTTTGTGTCCCCGTGTTCAACGGAGGGATGTGAGGGTGCACTCAGCTTTGGTCTCACACTGGATGGCGTAGAGCAACCTGGCTACTGGACAAGCACCTTTACTCATGACCAAAGGATGCGTATCTACTGTTTTGAACAACGTGGCGAAAAAGTGCTTCAAAAACTCGCAGAGATTAACCGCACTGGTGGAAAGCGTGTCTGTTCTCCACGAGAACCGCTCAGCAGATCAGGGGAGGTTTATAAATTAAAGCCCCGGTCTAATCGTGAGTGGCTGGGTGTGAGGCCACACTAAGGGAGATCTTGAGTGGAACCACATGCTAGAAAGAAAATCCTTAGAGCCTGAGGACATCGAGAGGTAAATAGCTTTTGCGGAATTAGAAAGCAAAGGGCAAATATTAATATAAACAGCTTCGCCTCCTGGCTTCTATTTCACGGTCACAGCATCCCCATTTCCTGCACAGGCAGCCAGACCACCACTCAGTGAGGTTCTGATACCAAAGTGCAGGAAGTATATTCTGATAGAGAAGTTCCAGAATGGTATCACTTTCACAAAAGAATGTAGCTACTTCTTAACTGTTTCTAGATTTTTCTTACCAACAGAAAGAGTAAAGCGTTTTCGTAACTCCAGGTATGCATAGCTCCATCTTCTGATTTCATTGTCACCTCCTATTGCTGTGCTGGGGGTGAACGGGGGCAGCTGGAGTCGTAAATACTGTCACCGGGATGAATGGATGGTTGGTACAGTCTAAGGCTTAATTAGTAACATTCACCAGCCAGATGAATTTGGCCGGTGAATGTTACTACCATTTCCCTGATGGTAGGGAGACATCAGACGGAGGGTATAGATTATTTTTCTTGCAGTCAGGAAAACATGTATCGATTACGTATGTAACGCATTCTTCGACATTCTTATCACAAATTCATAGTGATTATTAAATTTTTATGTGTGATTTTAATTATGATCATTCAAAACCAAGAAAAAGCAGAGACCAGTGTGACTCAGATGCTTGTGATCTGTATGAAGAACATGCATGAATCTGTGAGACAAACGGACAAATGAGTAGCTAGAGTCAGGGGGGAGGAAGCTCCCGAGGGCGAGTTCTCCTGGATTCACTGGAAAACCCAGGCATCAGCCTGACCTGAGTGCAGAGCCACATCCAGGTGGCAGGGATCCAGTGTCGCTACTGGGCACGTCCCACGCCCTCGGGGGCCAGCTGGCACCCGCACACTCGCCTCACCCTGTGGGGCTAACTTCCCCTACACACGTGCACAGCACAGCGGCTGGCCCACAGTCAGCAGCCACCGTAGGAACAATGGTATAAAATATCAGGGCGGACAAACGTCTCTTTCCTTCTCATTCTGTGCTGGGGACTATGACTGGTCAGTGATGTTTAGGTGCATAATGAGGAATATACTCTTATTTACCTGCTACACTAATAAATTGGGCAGGGAAATAAATGGCAATGTATTTAAAAATAAAAATATACTGGGTGTTATTTTAAAAATTCAGAGTACTTTACATAAAAAAAAATGGTCAGAATAGTAATGCATAAATCAAAACTTTGTGGGCTGAAGATGCTTCATACATACTTTCAAAAGGAGCTGGTACTTCGTTATCCGCTGAACTGGTTTAATAAGGTAGGAAGAGATGGAATTGGCTAGCCCGTGCCGCTGCTGTATCTCCTGAATGAAACCAAAATCACACATGTAAATAAAAACCTCACTGGGTAAGTTAGAGAGCACCAACTAAAAGTTTACATTTATTTCCCCCACAAAGAATACACACAGATTATTTTAAGTATACAGCAGAAATACCTGATTATTCTTTTAATGTGGTCGATCTAAAAATAATAGAGCTCAGCCAAGCTAACACCTTGAATGCCGAGGGCAGCAGCGTTTGCTCTGTATCGCTGGCTCTCCCACTCTGAGATCAAACAGGCCACACCTGAGTCAGGCGCTGACTCGCCTTCTCTCGTGAAGCTTCCCCTGCTGAGTCACAGACCACGTCCCGCCCCACAGCCCACCTCTCGCTACTAGAGGCCTCCTCCTTCCATCTCTGCACTATTAGGGACCTGCTCTCCTGTGCACGCTCTTTACTCAACCACCTCCTAGCCCAGAGTTCCCTCACCAACAGACTGTGTCTGCATTTTCTTAGTTCTTAGCATCCTTCTCAGAAGCTTCAAAAAAACCAATAATCATCTGACAGTCCACGCTTCAGCTTCACTGTTGGGTTTAGAGGCCACCACACACCCTTGTGATCCCTGGCTGTCTGTCATTTAGGCCAGGCTCCCTGGGACAAGCAGACTCTATAGAGGGTGAGTCCCCGGAAGTGCCACCCCAAGAGTCACCCGACCCTTTGGCACCCAGCAGATTAGATGGGACACCTGACAACCCCTCCTCTGGCTCCCGGGTCATAAACACACTTTTCAGATTTTCTTTTCAATTTGCAAAGATTAAAAAATATGCAATTGAAGATGTAATGATGATTACACACCACTGTCATTTAATATCACATCTAAAGGATTTTTCACATACAGTAGAATTCAAAGTCATAAGGACAGGTCACTGACTCCTAGACAGTGTTAAGCCACTTGTAACCAACTGCCAAACCAAGATACAGAGCATTTCTGCCTTGGCGGAAAGTCCTCTCCTGCCTTTTTCCGATAATTTCCCCCCACCCCTGCACCCCCGCCGCCACCAGGAGGGTACCCTTGTTGGAGATTCTGGCACCACAGACTGGCTCTGCACATTCTGAAAGCTCATATAAAAGGAATCATGCAGAACAGAATTCCTTTATATCTAGCTGCTTGCAGGCCACGTTTTGAAGATTAATCCGGGTTGTCCGCACAGCAAGAGTTTACCCTCCGCACGGCTGAGCGGCGGTTCCTCCCCTGGACGTGCCACAACACTCTGGAAACACAGCATGCTGTCTTCTCAGGACACCCTGTTCTAACAGCACTTTCACAACTGCATCTCCGATACTTCTAAGCAGGAATCTATTTTGTTGACATCCTTATTGCCTTAGCATAGTATTATGCAATTGAAAAATGGTTGTAAGATCACAGTAATCTTCTAAAATACCTGACAAAGATTTAATCCTGCTGAAATAATAAAGTTTCCCTTCTCTAAAATTTCTTTTCTTATACAATTTTACTTTGGATGGGGGGGGGGTGGAGAGAGCTGGGGGTAAAAGGAGCTTCTAGCTCCCTGGTCAGTGGCATATATATCCGAGGCCAGGATTTCTCCTTTGCATTTGTGATTGAGTCATTTACAGGCAATCAAGTCCTCGCTGCTTCCACTCCTCTCTGCAAAGGCAGGCGTCCTGTGTTATTCATACTCTCTGTGAAGCACCTACGCAGACACTGAGAGTCAAAGGAACCCCTGACTGATGAGCAAAAACACTGTGCAAGGAAAACTAGACACGTAACCTGTGAAATCTCCAAGTTAAACAAACATGATTTTCTGTATTCTTGAAGATTTTTAGGGCAAAGGGTTTTTAAAAAGTGGCTCTGGTTCCAAGCACTAAACATGCCAGGTGTTCTCAATGCTCAGGCCTTGAATCATTCTAACGCTGCAGGTAACCGCACAGTGTGGGACGTCTTCTGATGGCAAAGCCCCAGGGTCGTGTGAAATACCATGAAGAACAGGCAGCGCTGGCCTGCGAGCAGACTTCACATTTACACAGGCAGTGATGTGTGAATGCTGGTCGTGAGAATGACAGCGACGGCAGGGCCACCCGCAGGGGGGCTTCACCTCAGAGGCAGGAGCCAAACTGCATTCTGCCCTCTGAGACGGTCAGAGAGGGCAGGTTGTCACCACTGGCCTCGTGCAAGCACACCCACGACGACGTCTAATATCCTGGTGGCCTATGCACCAAACCCTACATGATACTCAAAACTGCCTCCTCTTCCAATTAAAATTTATTTGGCACGTGTTTATGACTACATTCTGGAGACCCAAAAGGCATTCTACATGTCCCACCATAAGGCTCCATTCCTTTCTGTGGTCAGTCGCTACCCTGGAGTATCTTTTAAAAACAGAGATGAGCTACCTCTGTGTTTACATCAATGAGAATGTAGTTAATAAACCTCCCACCAGGCCTGGCTGCTACAGTGACATTTGCAAAATTTTATTGGTAGGTCACTTTTGGAAAGTAATAACACCATGAAATTAAAATGGAAAAAATAAATGATTAAAAAAGATTCAAAGTTACCTTTTTAAGGGGGGGAAGCTTAATTTAATAGTTTATATCTTCTATACAAAATTTTACATGTAAAAATTTATGATTATATAAAAATAATATAATGATGTATATGCATGTGCATATAAAATCTGAATTTCTGGCAGGGGACAGCAAAGGGGGGAAATGGGGACAACTGTAATTGAATAACAATAAAAATGTTTTAAATATCTGAACTTCTTATTGATACATAGTTTGCTATACTTCAGAAGGAGCTTTTAAAAACAGAAGAAAATATAAGAGTATCCCACCATATATGTGATAGATAAAAATGAAAATATTGCCCCATGAATCAGGTGAAAGTCAGAATAATTATGCATTTGAGGCATGCTGAATGCAACTTAGGAAATTTCACGGCTTCCCTGGTGGTCCAAGACTTACATCGAAGTAGGATCCTGCCTGCTCCAGTATCAGCTGAGTGGAATCAGGCTTGTTTTTGCAGTAAGTGACATACATTTGAAACTTGTCTGCCTATAAATAAAGAAAAATTGGACTATCACTTTCAAATGGCTGTACATTAAAATATGATAAACTTTTACGAAGAAAAGAAATGGTGAGGATTAAAGGTATTTAATCCCCAAATTAAAGAAACCCTGTTTTACAAAGACACCTATTAAAATGAGAAACGCCTCCTGCCTGATATCACACCCCCCCCAGAGGCCTCCCCTGACCAGCAAGCTGGGGTCGGGCACCTCTCTCCCCCCACAGTGGTGTGTGGAAATGCAGGCAGTATGCTTCGATGGCACAGTCACCAGGTCACTTGTCTGCCTCCCCTCAGGACTGGGTGACTCCTCTGTCCCCCTGCCCCACCCAGGACCGGGCACTCATGGCAAGCTGCGAACTCCCAGGGCCGCGCAGAGGTCCGGCACACAAATGGTCTGTTTCAGACCATCACTACTGACAACAGTAAGCTCATTCTGCATTAATAACTAGCTGGGGAATGGAATTCTTTGGGACAAAGCCCAGTTCTCTATGCAGCTACCAGTAGAAGGTGGTGACAGAAAAGACACGAGCACCGTCCCCTCTAACTTCCTTCAGAGACACCAGGTAACTGTGGGACAACAAGAAGCTGAAGTTTCATTACCCAAGTAACAAAGCAGTGCCCGACGTCCTCCGGCAACTGCTCGTATTTTTCCAGCTCTTTCAGGAATATGCTATAGAGGATAAAAACATTATCATGTTACTGAGACATTTTAAACCATTTTAATAGTGACATACCCCAGAAGTCTGACCAAGCATACCGTGGCTTCAGGCAATACCTGAATTTCACCATTTTAATCATGTGCAGTGAAAAATGTGTGCCCTCTAGATCTTGACATTTAACGAAATGTATAGCTCTTAACTAGGCTAAGTTATTGTGACTTTCGGCTAATCAGTTCAGCATTTAAACACTTTCTACTACAAATTCATCCTAGTGGCTCACTTCTGGGGAGGTGCTATGTTTAGTAGTTAGGGGCATAATGTAGGGACATAAGTATCTGACCCAAAGAGAAGAAGCCCTTTAGATTTTTGTGGCTTCTGTTGCGGTAGGAGCAGGGGAGTGAGGATACCCCGGGAGCCCTGGCCTTCCATAGGCTACTGGGCTGCACAGACTCTATCTAAAGGAGCTTCTGCTGCTTTTTAAAAACTTCTTAGAAATAAGCCTGCGTGCCTCCTCCGACCAAGGGAGAGCACGTTTAGTTCGTTTAGTTTGCATGGACCACACACCTGCCCCTCCCTCGGCTCCTTCCTCCCTCTTATCTGAAAAGACCAAACATGAGCCCACCACCCACGGAAATCTCTTCGTTATTTTGACACTGAGAAATAACTTATGTAGCAGCTGATGGCACAGCCTGAGAGAGGTTTGGGTTCCCACAAAAACAGTTTCTACCCTTTTCCTAATCTTATTCCTGCAGAAAGTGAGCACAGATATAAAACTGAGTCTGTATTACAGTTGTCTCGAGAATGTCAGTCTTTCTTAAGAAAGCCTGACAGGATTCATTCGGATTTCAAGAGTCACTGAAATCAACATTTGCTTCTCTCAGAACCCCTGATTTCTTGTTACGAAAGGCCAGCACAGGACCGAGATGCCGGGAGTCACTAGCCATGGATGCCCAAAGACAAAGCCACTCACTTGTTGTGGAACTCATAGATTTCCTGCATGTTCCCGAAGATGATGAGCTCTTTGTTCACGATGCCTGGGGGGATCTCCTCCACGCCGCTGGTCATCTCCCACAGGTAGGTCTGGCCGGGGGGGAAACACAGGCATTAGACAGAAACCAACACCACATTTTTAAGAAGCAGATGTTTATGACATCTGTGGATACAGACCCAGAGTTAATGTACACCTGCAAATGGATCTTAAGAATGGAATCTTTTAAACAAGCATAAAAAAACTAGGGAAAAAAAGGAGCTCCCCAGTTGCTATAATACTTGAAAATAGTCCCTGCACTTTTCAGCCCTAAACTTACTTCCACCTTTGAATGACCCTGTCCACAAGGTACAACAAATATTCATAAAACTGAGTATTAGTTGCCAATCAAAAGTAGGAAGCACGCTTCTTGGAAGCTGCTATAAAATTCTATACAAAGGGAATGTCAGCCAGGCCATCATGTGATAAATGAAACAAGAGGATTAACGCTGTATCATCCCCGCAGTGAGCAGAGAACAAGCCTGGAACTTCACAGAAGTGCAGAAACATGAAACTGGCAGCTCACATGCACTTTAAATCTCAAAAAAAAAATGACAAAGTGTGATTATTTTAAGAATTACTAATAAGAAGGAATAAATACAAGATTATACTCAATCTAAAGAAACAAGTTAAAAAACTTACTTACATCCATACACTCCCGGAGGTCTCTTACGTAAGCCTTTTCCGTTTGAATTAACTCAGCCATTATGAACCTTAAACAGATGAAGACAACAAATAGTTCAGCTCACAGGCAGGATAGACTACCTACTTTTATGGCTTATGAAATAATAATAAAGTGGCTTAAAAATCATCAGGCAGTGATGTTTTTTGCAGAATTAAATCAAGAATAGGTAGAACAATAGTGGTATCCAGCCATCAATTCAAAGAAAAACAATTTAGAAACCTGGGGCCAGATAATGCTTTGCAGGTGGGCTGTCCTGTGCCTCCTGGGACATTCGGCAGCCTCCCTGGTTGCCACCCACCGGATGCCACCTGAGAGGCAACCAAAAATGTCTCCATACACTGCAGTGTCCCCCAGGGGACAAAACTGCCCCGACCGAGAATCACTGGATTAGAACCATCTTTTTGTGAAATTAATATCTAGTATGTTCACTAGTTGGCAATGTTTAAACACCTCCACTTGTGTTATTAATTTCTTCTCCTTAGTATTGCCACTCAGGACCTACTAGTGATGAATGATAATAAGTCGAGTTGCCAGCCCCACTTGAAACAGGGGCATGGGGATAAAAACAAGAAACTATTTCTGACGCAGGTGATAAGGAACAGTGCACGCAGTCGAGTTTGAGTTGCAAAAGCTAGTAAGGACATTCAGAACCTCAAGAAGTCATAATGCCAACTGGTTTCAGAGCACACGCAAAAGAAGCATGTTTGTCCACGTGACATTTTCTTGACTTTTTCCATAAATCTGGCAGGTTCTTAAAGACCAGCTTACTCTTTCCTGCGGGCAGATTTCCGTTTTTCTTCATTAAGCTCATGAGCAGCATCGCGCAATTTCACCTCTGACCCAGGGATACTGGCTGGAATGATATCTAGCTGAAGACTTTTACTCTGTGGAATGAGAGAGTCAATGAACTTCAGTGAACTGAATTAACACAGAAGAGCACCGTGATGTATTCAGTTCGCACAAAGCAATTTACCGATTTGTTGGAATCCGAAGAAATCCCCAGGGCTTTCTCCAAAGAGGTCCTGTACTTTTCCATCCGCAGAGAGAAATCTCTGTACCTCTTATCCACGGCAGTGACACATTTTTTTATTTCTGCCGCATGGGCATGCCCTTTTTCACAAAAGCCATCAGCTAGCTGTATCAATAGCTTCACCCTCTCTTTGGTTTGCTGCAAAAAAACCAACACAACAGGAAAGTATTATGAAGCAAATGAACCCAACTGCCAGGAATCAGAAACACTAGTAACTTGCCTAGAAGTCAGCTGTAAACCAGAAAAACGCCGCTGGTTACAGAAGCCCAGACTCCCGCCCCACGTCCATCCCGTTCTTCTCCCTGAGCGGAGACGAGTTCCCTTTCCTCAGCTCCTCCACAGTGAATGGTGTTTTTAAGACCTGGGCTAAAAAAGTCTAGACTTTCAACGTCTTCATCTGATCAGTGCTCAGTAAAAATCTGTGGAATGCACGAATGAATGTGCACTTGGCACGCCCCCCCCCCCCCCCCGTGAATCGAAGACTATCCTCCTTTGAATGGGCTGCAGATCGTCCCTGCGTTACACATGTTTCCTCTGTGTGCACAGTCAGACCATAAGTTCAATCAGGGCGGCAGCCATCCGAGATTCTGCTCTTCCCGATGCACACGTGTGGCCAAGGATCTCCCACGGCGGACACTCAGCAGGCCCCGATGCGGCTCCTCGGCATCGCACGCTCACATCTCTTTCCACTCACAGGGGATGTGGGGGATGTCACTCCTCAGGGAATGATCTCCACAGAGGCATTTTAAATTCTGTTCCCTGTTTAGAACTCTCTCTTGTAAAAAAAATATTTTAGCTCTGGTTGGTGTGGATTGAGCACTGGCTTGTGAACTGAAAGTTCGCCAGTTCGATTCCTGGTCAGGGCACACGCCTGGGTTGCGGGCCAAGTTCCTAGTGGGGGGGCATGAGACAGGCCAGGCTGCAGGCAGATGTTTCTTCACACATCAGCGTTTCTCTCTTTCTCCCTCCCTTCCCCTCTTTTCTAAAAATAAATAAATAAAAGCCTTTTAAGAGATTTTATATATATATATATATAAAAGATCTTTGATTAGGTTAGGCATTACACTTCTAACTTCCCGTAAAGTTAAGGGCCACTATAAAACACTGTCCTATGTAAGTGGCAGCAACTTCACCCCACTTTGATTTTCCCACTGCTCTTCGCTTGCGTCCATCTCACTGATCTTTACTACGAGGCTTCCTTCAACGTTCCCACAGGCATTTCACATGAGTATATTCTTCTGCCGCGGAAACTGCTTTCCTCAGATAAGCTTTAACTAGAAAATCTTTACGACTAACAGTCAGGAAATTGACTTTAAAATCCCCAAAAGAAAGGTCAGAGTTCAAAACCTGGATAAATTATCTTGGTTTGCACAATAAAATTTTTGAGCCAGAATTCACCAGAGAACCTGTCTAATCAGCTGTAAAGATCCGCAGACTGTACCCGGCTGGGGGGTCTGCCCCCGCATCCAGCAGCTACATCCGCTCTGGCCTTTGGTTCTCTGCACAGGTCTCCTGCTGCCTCCTAGATGTTGCCATGGCACCTTCACCTCTTTGCTCCACCAAAGTACCCCCCCCCCCCCGCCCTGACCACGCTTTATTGTCTCGAACAACTTCTGCCACAGGTGCAATTGACTTATGACATCACTGTCTGTCTCTCTTCTGTTAGCTGGTGACCGCCACAGGCCAGGGACACTGGTTTGCTTGCTAACACCTCCCACCCCTTCCATGTGAGGCACACAGTGGCAGTTCACCAAATACTTACTGGGAAAATAAAGGAACAGGTTCTTACACAAGACTGTGACACCTGTGACTTTGATGGGCATAGCAGCTACTCCTACCGGCACAGGCTTCGAAAATACATGAAAACAAAACTCAAGGAACATTAACGACTTCTGTGAACAAATGAATGCTGTGGATTCTGTGAAAGCTGCTGAGCTGGAAAAAGTCAGCAACACTGAAAATACTCTCCAAGTTTCTAGGGCTTTCATTTTGTGTAACGACGAACTCTCATGGAGTGAACGACAAGAACACTATCTGTTAAACCTTTCGGTTTGTCATCAGCACAAAACCTTTCTGAAGACAAGACTAGCCTAATTACAAACCGAGGAAACAAGAAGTGCAAGTTTCAGATCTGGAAGCGTGAGTTCCAAAAGGAGTTAACTGAGAAACACTACTAAATTTTATTTTATTTTATTTTATTTAAAGATTTTATTTATTTATTTTTAGAGCAAGAAGGGAGGGAGAAAGAGAGGGAGAGAAATATCAATGTGTCGTTGCCTCTCACATGCCCCCTAGTGGTGACCTGGCCTGTAACCCAGGCATGTGCCCTGACTTGGAATCCAACCCATAACCCTTTGGTTCACAGGCCGGCACTCCATCCACTGAGCCACATCAGCCAGGGAGAAACACTACTAAATTTTAATATCAAAGAGAATTAATACAACCAATGCAGGATTTATAAAAATTAGGTTGCATTTATCACTTTTCACTGTTTTGTGCCAAGACATTAATCTGCTGAAAAGCACAGAAAAGTATTACTGTCCCAGCACCGAAGCACAAACTACACAGATTTCTTCAGGGGCTAAGAAAGCTAAGTCGTGTTCTAAGTGTTGGAGACAGAGAAGTGAAGATAAAAAAGACAGTGCAGCTTACCTACATTAAAAGAGAAAACAAAACAGCAAGAAGCTTCAGGAAGATTTCTGTGTGTTTGTGTAACATCACAAAACAGACCAGTTGCTGGTATGCAACACCAATAAGCCGATGCTGATTACTGAAATGTATTTTAACATGCACTGAGTTGCAAATGCATCAAGTTGTCTCAGTGAGGAGCGGCTTTACTGCCATTAACACTGAAAGTGTTGCAGTGCTCCCTGCTGTAACAATCGGATTGGAAGACGGTCCTGTCGAAGTGAAGGATTCTCTACATAACAGGAGAAAAGTGATCTCTTAGAAGACGGTCTCACAGGCTGACAGGACAAGTAAGAAAGTAGCCCAGTATCAATGGGAGAAACTAAACGACATCTCCAAGCACCAAAGCAGGTACTTTCTGATGGAAAGGCAGCCAGAAAACAAACAAAAAGCGTTGCTAAGAAAAAAAAGTGACAGGTATTTGTTCAAAACCCACCAGTGCCTCTAATCAATATATTCAATGAAAGAAAGAGCTCTGTTCTGTGAAACAGAAAGGTCAGATGTCATCTACGGTTTTAGATGCTTTTTAAAAGACAAAACACAAGGGCAAAAAGTAATGCCTGTTTACTACTCCCTTTCCCACTGGTCGTACTCCAAAATTCAGGAAACAAAGAATTTAAGAATAATAGGAAAACCCTTTCATGCACACTCCACTGGGAACAAAGCTGCCACGCCCCTCAAACCCCGACAGGGACGTTCGCGCCGCACTCTGTGTGCACGGCACTCTGTGTGCACGGCAGCCCCGGGAGCCGCGCGGTGAACAGGCTGCTTGGCCACACAGAACAGCCTGCACATGTTCAGTCGGTGAGAAGGGACAATTCTTACATCTACTTCTGAATGCTGTTTTAAGTATTTTCTCCATACCTTCATATTCAAAGGATACTCAGAGAAAGAAATGTAGATCATACCATGCACATAACTGTCATTTATTAACCCACCATTAACAAAAATGAGAATTACACAGCTAATTCCCACAGTGTTGTATCCAGAGGAAGGAAGAAGCGTGGTCCTCACCTGCAGAGGCAGGGCAGGCCGGCTCCCCTCTGGGCACCCACGGCCCCCCTATCATGGCCAGGCTATCCTGCCTGCCTGCCTGCCTGCACCCGCCCCCAAGCCCCCACCTGACACTCACGGCACCCCACGAAAGGGCAGGTTTCTTTACCAGCCCTGCAGTGGTCGGTCTGCCAGCAGCTGCACTAGACTCTGTGTTTCTCCAGAACAGAACCAGGGGTTCTGAGTGCCCGGTACCCAGGGGCTGAGTGGAAGGAAATCAGCTGAGAGCTTAGAGCTGGGGTGGGGGGCAGCTGGGAGCGGAGGGCTGGGAAGAAGAGGAGGAGTCAGAAACCATTACAGAAAACATAAAAAAGTACAAATAAACATAACACAAAGTAGCCGTCTTTATCTCAAATGATTAAAAATTCCTCTCTGACATGTTTTCGATCCAAGTTAAGGGTGACACACACACACATCAACCTCTTTACAGGGACACTTCTTTTTAACCAAGAATATTATTTAACTTGACCATTTATTTTCTACTCTTCGACTTAATTGTTAGCTTTTTCTAATAACTCAATCTATCATCGAAAACAGAGGCACGAAAACATTACAATAAATTATGTTCAAAAACTTTGAAAAACAAAAAGAATGCCACGGGTTGAGGAGGAGACTGAGAGAATCGCAAACTCTTCTGAGGTCAGGGAAGAGGGAGCTCCCGCAGGTCACTGTGGAGATGCTCACATACTGACTTAAAAACTACTAACTCCTCCCACAGACTGCAGACACCATAGAGACGTGTTCAATTTTATTTTGACTTTTGGGAGAAAACAGAAAATGCTTCCAGTTTTACAAACCTGCGGAACAGCCGGCTTGTGCCGGGCTGAGTGGAAACGATGTAACTGTAACAACTTCCACTGACTCCCGGGTGGGGGGGTGAGGCACGGAGAAAAAACCCACAGAACAATCAAGTCCAGTTGGCAACACTGAACAGTGCTTCATAAGAGCTGCCAGTACTCACAAAATAGAAATCAGGAAGAAAAAGAGAATAATAATGAAAAGGACACGAGAGAAATAAAAAGGAAGGAGATGAGAAGTATTTGCAGAAGTCAGAGGCAGAGCAGCAAACAGATAAATGAAGGGAAAACTGAGGGCAAGCGTGAAAGGCAGGAAGAAGCACCAGAAAAGTCGTGTATAACAAGCCGTGTCGGTCACCCCGTTTCTCATCTCATAAAGTATTTCCTAAGTGATACTTTGGAGGGTTATTTTATTTGCTCAAAGCATCCTGTTCCGGGCTACCCTGGAAAGACCCGAGCAGAGGCAGGGCCCCGAACGGACGCGCGCGGCGGCCCGACGCACCTTCGCCGTGATCTGGAACTCCTCGTGCTCCTTCAGCAGCTCCTGGGTGTGCTGTATGCTGGAGCCCGTGGAGGTGTGTGTGGACAGGTAGAACTCCCCGTTGTCGTGGATCCACTCCAGGGCCTGGGCAGGGAAGGAACGAACACACGTTTCACGGAGGAACAGTGGTGAGGGGGGTGCAAAGTGCTGCATATCTCGGGGAAATGGGAAGTCACAGGCCGCGGTCGGGGCACCTCGAGAAGCACCCCCTCGGAGAGACAGACAAGTTTCTGAACTACGTGTCAGAATCCTAAAACTTAAAAAGAAGTCGACAGTCTAGAAAGCTGTAATTGTGTCACTTACGTAACAACAACAAAAAGGCAAAGAGTTCCTAGAATTATGAACCTAAGTCATAATACAAGCACCAAGACTCTTCTTCAAGAATACGGGGCAGCGTGGGGTGAGGGGGTGGGCCGAGACCCTCACGCTGTTAAATAAGGAGCCACCAGGACTTAGCAAACCAACTGAGAAGTTCTCACCAAAAGAAGAAGAGAACACAGATGTGAACTCCTAGCTTTCTAAAGTACAGTTTCAACCCTTCCTTCCTACTCCTGTGTCTGGTGAACACCCAGACGCAGGCCCACTTTGCTTGTTCTGAGGGCTCCTGCAGAGGACACGTCACGTGCGCCCCAGATGAGCCACTGGGCGACGCTGGCACGTGGCTTAACCCTCCCAGTTGCCGGAGAGAGACGACCGCGCCTGGAGAGAAAGGGGCCGGCGCGGTTCAGCCCGCAATGGGACGGCGCCGTTCTCATGCACCTGTTCTTTCCTGGTTTTGGATGGCAGCCATGGGTTTTCCTTCCACGTCCCCACAGCTGAAGTGAAATCGGACTTACTTAAGTAACACACGCACCTTATGCTATGTAAGGAGAAGCTTTTATATCTGCCCTTTATATCTCAGTTATCCACTGCTGGCTGGTATTGAAACAGAAACATTACTGTCTCTATTGGATATTTCACAGCACATATAGCATTTTAGGAGAAAAAACAAAAAGAAAACCATGACCCAGATTACTTACCATGCAGTTTACTGGCTGGGAATCTACTTTTGTTATGCCTGAGGGCGCCTGTCCCATCTCAGAAACAATGTTAACATTGACTCCCAATCAAGGCAGAAAGCCATTTGTCAATTTAGTCAAAGGTCCTTGGCTTCTCTATCCACACAGCCAATGGTACCCGAGTGCCTACCATGGAGTCAGGTGCTGGGTGAGGCACCAGGGAAAGAGAAGCTCAGTCCCTGCTGCTGTGGACTGGGAAGGGGGCAGAGATGAAGTGAGACACACAAAAGACAGATGAGAGGGGGAGACCTTGCTTAGAAGGGTGGTCGGTCAGCAGAGGGGCATCAAAGTGGGGACCTGCAGGCTGAGAAGGGATGGGCTCAGGATGGATGGATGGAAACTGTGCGGGGTGGGGTGGGGTATGGGGGTGGGGGGAACACCCCATGGCCCCGAGCGGAGGGAGCTGGGTCCACTGCAGGGAGAGGCGGGAGGTGAGGCTGTGGAGGGCAGGCGTTGCTATGTGAGAGGGACTGGAGTTGGGGGAAGGAGCCGCACCAGTTAGCAAACTGGTTCAGAGGTTCGGAGGGGACCTGGCTGGCACGATGGCTCTGGACAGGAGAAGGTCAGGCAGATGTGCCACTGACGGAGGTTTTCACCTACAGGACCGATGAGCGGTGAAGGTGGGAGACAGGAGTCAGGAACCACACACCCCGTAAGATGAGGGGACACAGGGCGCAGTAACTTTTCAGTCCACTTCCGCCTTCACTGAGGCCGAAGTGGAGCCATGCCAAGAAAGTGGCTGGGATTATCAGTCTGGGCTCCACAAATGGAGGCCAGGGCTGCAAGACAGCAACAGAGAAGATAAGGGAGGAAAGAGAAACAAGAACCAGCCTCAGCTGAGCCCCGGGGAGAGTCGACGTGCAGAGGCGGAGACCAGGAAAGGGGGCAGCGGAGGTTTGGGCGGCAGAGGGTGGCGAATGACACTGACGATGGCACTGTGACGGTGGCGCAGGGCAGAGCCCGACAGGTGCGCATGGCCAGTGGGCCGTCCTCGGTTACGGCCTAAACTTCATGACTTCGTATTTGGCAAACAAGCTGACTTTCAGAAAAAGCAACAACACATTATCCCCATCAAGGGAATTATTTACAAATTCATTCTATGTAGCTGAATGATTCTTTGTCTTTCGACAGAGAAGTAATAGAGATATATGAGAGAGAATTATGAAACAATCTGTAATCAGAAGCAAAGTCAGGCTGCCCTAAATCTAAAACACAGTTGAAATGAACTGTTTTTAAATAAAATGCTAAGAAAATGTAATTTAAACATTGAAAATACTACTGCTTTCCACCTCTGCTGGAAATATGAGAGCGGCACCTGGTAAAGTCAGCCCAGATGAGGAAAAGGCCTCAGCCATCGGCCTCTGGGGAGTGAGGCCGCCCATTGAGAGACCAACAGTCACCCACAGAGAGCAAAATACGCTCCCTACATGGGAAAACCGTGTGAGGAAGGTACAATCTTCTCAGGCTGTACGATTCCACCGATCGCCTGCTCTGGGGACACAGGAGGCAGACAGGTGGACTCAGATGGTGGTCCGGGTCTGACATGGTTACCGTGGTGACTAAGCTCCTTGACATGGAGCACGTGAGACAGCTCCACAGATTCTTAGGCCACTGTGAAGGCCAAAGAGAAGTGACAGGGGTCTCAGCGTTCACATTAGGGGTCCGACAAACTTCCCCTGAAGTGACCTTCCATTCCTCCCATGCACTTTACCCCCAAAATGACTTCAGAGGGCGGGAGAACTACAAATGCCTCTGCGTTAGTCAAATGCATGAATGTTTTTAACTCCTGAACCGTCGGAAACGCTGTCACATTTTATTTAATTTTTGCCCAGTTTATCTGAAGAACGTTTTATTTTGAACACATAAATACAGCCACATAACAGAACCACCCCCTACAGTACTTACACAAGCACAGCACCTCGATTCTACAATGATCTCTAAACTGTCGTCATGTGTAACGTGTGCTCTGCTGTCTTAGATGTGAATGAGGTCACGACAGTGGAGACGAGCTGAGTGACATAGGGGGCCAAAGTGACACGCTTTTCTGAGGTGGTGGGGTTTTCGTTTCACACCGAATGGTTAACTACGAGGCACGGCCCGTTGGGACCATCAGAAAGTGGTTTTGAAGCTGCTGGCACGCGGTCTGAGCACCGGGTGGAGGGCCCGGGCGGCCCTGTGTGGCAACTGACCTGCTTGGCGCTGCGCTCGAAGACCACGTACTGCTGGCACTGGTCCAGCCGCCTCTTGCGCAGGGTCCAGTAGTGCAGCACCCGGTTCTCCCGCTGGAAGAGCTCGTTCAAGATATCTGAGAGGACAGAGAAGGGCGCTGGTGGTCGCCACGGACGAAAACGCCCGCAAACACCATTCGCTGTGACTTAGACTTCTTACACAAATGCCATTCACTGCAAGGCAGATTTTACACAGCGAGCCACAGTGCTTGCCTGTCCCAGGTTCCCAATGAGCCTGCCAACCAGAGCTCTCTCCTAAAGTCTTTTACCCCAATTTATCATCAGAGGAGCATAGGCACAGGTGGCAGACACAAGGCCAGCGGGACGAATCCCGCCCTCCACCTTGTTTTATCCGGCCCGGCACCTTGTTTCTACCCAGCAGCAGTGCCGAGCTCCCTGCCCCTAGTTAAGGAGTCGTTACATTTATACAGTCCTAAAATCGGCCCTTCGAAGGTGACTATGAGACTGATGTGGCCCCCGGTGAAAATGAGCTTGACGCCCCTGCTAAGGTTATGGTTGGCCTCTAAGACCTCGGGGTCATGGGATCGGTGGGCCAGACTCCTGCCTCCCCTGCTGGGCAGTTTGTCTGCATCAGTATTTAGCTATTTTTTCCAAGACCACTAAAACCTTCCCATATATAGAAGGAATTCAATGTACGTTAAAGGATGTATGTCAAAAGGTGAAGGATTAGAAGAAAACAAAAGGTATCCTTTTAAAAAATATAAAGCAAAGGCCGAAAAACCCTGATGACCTAAAAATTAAGACTGTCATCACCAAGCACTAACAGCCATGAAATATTATACCAATCAAAAAACAGGAAAAAGTATTGGGAAAATATAACACACTGACCTAATTTACTTAATAGTCAAGAGAAAAAGACAAACAATCTGTGGAACATGAAGTTGATGATTTTTAAAACTGCGGCCACCAAACAGGGAAACAAGCGCAGGCTCACTCTGACAAGGGGACCGTCTCTGGCCACTTTCCGGCAAGCGCGGTGCTGCCATTGCTGTTAGAAGCGGTGGGGCGGGCGCTCGGGCCCCCGTCTTCTCCGTGAGGGGGGAGGACAGAGCACGGCCCTCGCAGAGGGCAGCTGGCAACAGGGGCGACACCGAGGTGCCTGTGCCCTTGAACCAGGATTTACCTTCCAGCTGACGGTGTTCACACAAGCAGCTGCAACGATTTGTACTCGGATGCGTGAACACTGAGGTGCAGCAACGTGTGAGCCCATCCATTGGGGGACAAGTTAAACCAGTCACAAAATCATCATACTAGACATAGAAGAATAGGGCAGATCTTTAAATCTGATATAAAAATATGACTCAGGTATACTACCAAGTGACTGAAGAAAAAAATTGCAGGGATATATAGTCCCATTTTGGTTAAAAAAACAAAAAAACAAAAAAAGGACAGATAAAGTGCTTCTCAGATAAGATCAAATTCAAGGAGTTCATCATCACCAAACCCTTATTATATGAAATATTAAAGGGACTTATCTAAGAAAAAGAAGTTAAAAAAACATGAACAGTGAAAGGACAACAAACTCACAGTTATTAACAACTACACCTAAAACACAAGCAAACTAAAAGGACAGCTAGATCAGGAGTGGAAACATAGAAATGAAGATCTCAAGGAGGGTTAGCAACAGGAGAGTGGGAGGAGGAGAAGGGGGGAGAAGGTACAGAGAATAAGTAGCATAGACAGTAGATAGAAAATAGGTGGGGGGGCAAGAATAGTATGGGAAATATAGAATCTAAAGGACTTAAGACACATGGTCATAAACTAAAGGGGGGTAATGGGGACGGGGAGGTAGGGTGGAGGGGAATGAAGGAGGGGAATAGAACAACTGTAACAACATAATCAATAAAAAATAAATTAAAAACAAAAAACAAAACAAAAAGCAGGATGGGTGAGTGGAACCCACCTATGTTCAGATTTCTCCACATATTTCGATTTACGTGCACAGACAGATGCACAGAAAGTCTCAACGGTGGTTATCACCGGCAAAGGAATTACGTAATTCATACGCATTTGTCACTTTTCAAACTTTTTACAGTACTCTGTTTTACTCCAGAAGTTTATAAAATAACTATATAAAAAAAAGTCAGACAAATGATCTCACCTATAAGAGGAACCCAATGAACAAAACAAACTAATGAGCAAACTAGAACCGGAGGCGTGAAAGGAGGAAGAGACTGACAGGGACCAGGGAGTGGGGAGGGGTTAAGCGGGGAGGGAAGGGGAAGGGCCTGGTTAAAGAACATGTATAAATGACAATGACCCGTGCACATGGACAACAGCGTGGGGACTGACTGTGGGAGCAGCCGGGGACAAAGGAGGGCAGCGGGCAGAGCAGGGTAGAGCAAGGAGGGAAATCTGGGACAACTCTAATAGAGTCATTAAAAAAAACTTCACAAGAGATTGAAATTGCAAGTCAACTAGATGGTGACTAGACTGTAAGTCCACTAAGTTCCCCACCAGCGTTTACGGAGTTCTCGGCGGGCTGAGCGCTGTGTGTGAAACAGGAGGCTGTGAGCAGCATTTGCCCATCAGCTCAGCGGTCCTGCCCCAGTATCCCCTCACTCTACTGAAAACATGAACTGGTTTCGTAAAACAGACTCAGACTTTGAAATCTGAAGCCTGTCAAAAAACTGTTACCTCTTAAATGAAAACATCACACGTGCATATTAACATAAACCTCGGGGTCTTTTCTGTTCTCTGATTTTCACAGTCTCTGCCTGGGCCAGGGCTGGTTTGGGGCATGGAAGCCACCCAGCAGAGGGGCGCTCTGGGGCTGCCTTAGCTCCTGAGGGTTACTCTGATCCCCTGGGCTGACCCTTCTTGGCTGTACCTCTCCTCTGGCACTGTCGCCCCTGCATGAATCTACTACACTGACACACCCATAAACCTTCTGTCCCCAAGTCTATGGTGAGAGAAAAAGAACATTTCTTTTTTAACTCTCCCCAGCACACAGCATGGGGAGAACGACTAGCAAATGCACGGTGATTATCTGGTGAGTGAGGACATGAACAGACACCCGCCTCGCACAGGCATGTGCATATCAAACTAGTACAACCTAGAAAGCCTCCTGGAATCTTCGATCAGGGCAGAATGTGCCCCCAAACCAAGAGCAATATTGAAAGGTGGGAGAAAGGAATTGATTTTTCTGTTAAATGAGTCAAGGAAACTGATTACCAATACACATAACTTGCAGGCAATGAGGATTCCTTTCTGCTGAAAATGACTGCGCCTGTTAGTCACTTATTTTTCCCAAAAGAAAAGCCCACTGACTAATAAGTAAATAAATCTCTTCTGTAGAGCTTTGAGGATTGTACCAAAGTGAGACAAAATCCTTCTATGAGAGCAGATGAATCAGACCACCAGGGAGAAGAATGTAATGTACAAAGTTTTTGCCAATCATATTGTTTTTAAAAAGTGTGGAGTGAATCATCAGTTACGTGGTTGTTGCAATTTTTCCCTGTGAAGCTCAGCTGCAAGTGTGCGTCTGTGCGACCTCTGTCTCCTCCTGCACCTGGAGCTGACTGCTAGGCTCCCGATGAGAATCAAGCCGACAGAATTCGGCCTCAACATCAGGACTGTTGTAAACATCTCTCATCATTTCTCAGGACCCACTCCCATGTCATTTCAACTGAAATTGCCAAAACTATGATTACATTTGAGTTTAAAATTATGTAACACCTGATTGCATTTTCTCTGTAAAATAGTCAGAATTCTACAGAGTAAAAGTTTAAGTCCCCTTCACCTGCCTCCACACCAATCCTATTTATCATTTTGTATAAGTTTTGCCAGATTTTCCCTATATATTTACACATACATGTTATATTAAACATGGCTTTATAGATTTTATACTCAAATAATATCAAACTATATGATACTATTTTACAATTTCTTTTTCTTAATAATGCTTATATAATAAAGTTAATAACACTTTATTTTGCTTGTAGATAACTCTGGTTTTCATTTTTTCCCAGCTTATAATATTTTTACTTACTTTAACAAAATAGTCAATGCCAATATAAATCATCCTAAGTCATGTTTTTTTCTCCCTGTTTATATTCTTCAACTTTATTCAATAAATTATGAGTCTATACACAAAGACCAGCAGAAGTATCGCCTGCTTGAGTGTGGCTGGTACAGTAATAATATAGGTACAATAATTTATAGTTTTAATTTGAACATTTCACCTAAAATAGGGGTGTGCTTGAGTGTGATATTGTTATGTTATAGAATTGCAAGCTTATGATTTTGTAATGAAAGACTTTATAATAAAAAAGGGACATTATTTGTGTTAGGCCCTGTATCTAATATTCAATTCTTAAACTAAGATACTCGGTAAGAATTTTAAAACAGGAAACAAACATTTAAAACGAAGCCCTGGGTGAAGACTTCCAAGCACACCAGCCCGGCGCCTCCTGCGCCTGCCAGTCGGCCGAGCCCTGGGCGCACTCACTTTTTACTTGCTGTTCGGGGGCTTTGACGTGAGTGACCATCCCCGGCATGTTCACACTGTTCCTGTGCAGGTACTTCAGGAAGACGTCTGCATTCCTCCTCGCAAGTGTGCACGCCTAAGAGCAATGGAGAGAGATGTGCTATTAGTCTGACTTACACAAACATGGGTTTTTGAGTCCTTATGGACACGAGTCGGCTCTAGCACATGTCTTCACTGAGAGTGTTTACCTGGCTAGCTGTGGCTTAGAGAATACATAGTTTAAATCACATTTCAATTAAAAAAAAAAAACAACATCTTGGAGCCCTTGCTTCTGCTCCGGTTGCTCTGCTGTAAGCTTCCCTACTGAGGGGCCTGGGGGCAGGGAGTGAGGGCAGCTCTTGACCAGTGAACAGAGAGCAAGTGAAGCCCTTCCCCAGGCCAGCCTTGAGGCGGCCATGACCACGGCCAACCCCTGAACCACAGCCAGGGTTTCTCAGTGTGAGAAACCCTGAGCCAGACGCCCCAGCTGGGCCGGGCCTGGATTTCTGTGAGCAGCAGGCAGTGCGATGCTTTTGGCTTCTGACTCATGGAGTCTGTGTCTCTGCTGCCTCTGTCCCTGCCGGCGTGGACGAAAGCGGCCGTGGACGACCCACGGGTGAGTGGGGGGTGGATTTACCCTCGGGCCTCGGCGCGTGCCAATCCTTGGTTTAAGCCCTCGAATATGGGGGTGGTTTGTAATGTGGTGTTATTTTGGTAGTAGATAACTAATATCACACGTTTATAAACTGAAGGGACCTACATTCCACCACCCTGAACCTACTTTTTGGGGATTCTGATTTTAAACTGATCATTAAGAAATGAAAGACTCAGAAAGAACCTTTGACCCTCCCCCATTTTCTGCCCAAGAAAGACAGACCGAGATGCTTCAGAAAGGAAATCTTAGGATGTTTCCTTCACCTAATTTTAATTAAGTATGGTACACAGAAGGCTTCAGGTAGGAGCCTATTAGCTACATACCCCACGTGAACCAGAGACGTGGAAACAAGCAACAGTCTGACAGCTGTGGGAGGGAGGAGGGGAGAGGAGGATGGGAGAAGGCGGCAGGGGATAAGGGGAAAGGGGAAAGGGATGGGGGGGGGGAGAAGCTGAAGGGACCAGTCAAGGAACATGTACGCATGATCCACAGACAGGGACTGAGTATGGTGACAGAGGGGTGGGCTGGGTAGAGGGGCAAAAGGGGGAAAACTGGGACAACTGCGATAGAATAAACAATAAATAAATCAACAAACACCTGTGTGTCCCACTGTTTCTGAGTCACGTAGCAAGGACTTTCCTGCCACAGCTCCACTCTTCCGCCACTACCTGCAAACCTCCCACTCTCACCCCTGAAACTGAATATTCATCTCCCACCCTGCCCTCCTTGGTCCAAAATGTCTCATACGCGTATACTCAATGCTGCCTCACTGTCTCTGGAATTTTCATGGATTTATCATGTCTGTGGGAATTCCCCACCCACAAGTATTAAACGTGGATTTTCCCCTGTGTAGTCTGTCTCTGTTAATTTGGTTATTAGCCCAGCCAGAAGAACTTGGAAGATGGGAGGAAAGTATTCATATGTTTTAGCCCCACAAAACCAAACAAGCAACTCACCAATGTATACAAAAACAAGAGCTCCGTAAGAGAAAAAGAATATAAACATGAAATGGAAGAAGTTAAGGGAAAAAAACATGTTGATTACATTTGAATACGAAATATCATGCACATATCCTGTCCCCAATCTGGAATTAATATTTTCTTCAAAGAGCTCTGCCCCCTTCTGTGGTGAATGGTGCTGAGAGACCACAGTCTGGGCACGAGGGGTGGGCATTATTGTTGGGTCGGTCACGTTTGTAGGCCTTTCCCATTGATGGAGGTAGAACACGTTTTAAAAATTAAGCTAAAATATGCCTGCATCTCTACTATTGAGTCTGAGAGAGTCAAGCATGTACCCGCCTCTTCTCCACAAACTCTCCTTTAGATGAACCTGACAGCTGAGGGGGTCACAGTCCTAGCTAATCGAGGAGGAGAGAATGGCAGAACTTCACCACTTTGCAACTCCTCAGGACTGATGTTACTACGACTACCAGACCCACCAGGTGAGGGGCTGCTGGGGAAGGGTGTCCCGGGTGAACTGGACTCGGCAGGTCTGAGGCACTGATGGGCCCTCACACTGCAGAGACAAAGAGAGAAGTGGACCTGGTGCCTCAAGCTCTCAGCCTAAGAGAAATTCAGAGGACCCGGAAGGTGCTTTCGCCAAAATCGGAAGAGTGGGAAACACCGCGCCGTGGGAAAAGCTTACTCCTTCAATTGGAAGTGATAATGAAGGAAAGGGTGGGTTTAGACGAAGACAGACTTAAAAGGACACTAATCAAATCAATGTTTAGACCTTCTTTGGATCTTGATTAAAACCACGTACAAAAAGACATTTGCGAGGCAATCAGGAAAATTTGAATACTTCAATTTTACATGAAATAAGTTATTATTAATTTTTAAGATGCAATAATGGTATCATGGTTGTTTTAGAAAACTGTAAGTTAATGTTTAGATTCTTACCAGCACACCTGCAAATAAAATGAGGTGAGGTCTAGAATGTAAAGCGACCCAGTGAAGGCAGGCACGTGCCCGCATGTTGATTACTGAGGCCGGGCGGGACGCACGGGGCTCACGCTCTACGCTCTCTGCTTCTGTACGGCGCCTTGAAACTGCCACAATGAAACGCTGGAAGACATCCGATAGACAAACACCCCAGAATTCTAGTGACCAAAGCCATCCAAACAGGCCTGTGATTATTTCTGCTTTTTAATTTTACCAAAATCTCTCTGTTACATTAACCACATAGTGTTCGAATTTTGTTTTACACTAAGTGGAGTCCAGAAAGAGAGGCAAACTGAGTCCAACTCAAAACACCTAACACTGGTCGGCATTTCACAAACTCAAATGGCAACAAGCATGGCGGGCCTCCCAGGTCCTGTTTGCAACAGTGACAGTGAGTGACTCTGGGGAAGTGAGCACCGCCTTCCCACCCGGATCTGCTTCAGTGGAAAATCACTGCGGTGGGAGCTCCAACTCAGTGCACCAGGTAAGGATTTCCAGGGGGCTGCCATTTATTCTCCCAGACCAAACAATAGCTTTCCCTGTCGGGACGGATCGTCACCTTCAGAAACGAAACAGAAACTATCGGATGTAACAGGAAATAGTGTCCGAGAGGTCCGAATGCTGCAGCAACGAGGGAAACTAAACTTAATAAAGCAACGGTGAAAAAGCGAACACCACACCGGATTTTCAACATGTCTGAGCACCAGCAAGGTCCTCAGAAAATCTGGTCCAAGAGGAAAAGAATGCAGGGTGGAAACATTCAATGTCAATGCTACTAAAAACACTCTGGCCACTGTTTAAAGTTTCAGTGTTGGAAATCAGTGACAAGTACGGACAGAAAAGTAAATAAAAATACACACACGCACAAAGCAGGCTTGAAAAAGTCCTCATTTAAAGCTCCTCGGAGTTAAAACTTACAGCCTGGCCTGAACTGAACTAAATTTCTCCAGCAGGAAACATTTCCTGAGTAAGTAACAGAAACTGATCCCATAAACCACAAGAGGTGTTCCTGCTTTGTGTCTACATTGGGCTCATATTTCTTCTGAGATACAGTCTTTGTTCCTAAGAAGTGAACTTCCAAAGGAAGATTATTTTAAGGCATTTTTGATTCATGAAATCAATCTCTCTCTCTGTTCAGAATCATTTGGCATTATCACTTTCGCCTGTTTTTTATTCACAGCTTTCTAGCTTTCTCTGTGAACACTAGAAAGACAACGTAGATAACAAGAACATTTTTAAGATTTTCTCTGAACGTCTGCCCCACTGGTCACGCGATGTGGCCCTGACTACTTTCCACACAAAGGGAGAACCGTGGGGTGTGCGGGACCTCCCTGTGGAGAGTGTCCCTGGCCTGGGGGTACCCCCTTCAAGTGACCCCTCTTGGATCTGTGCACACTGCTCAGTGAGGCACTGGCCCCCCGGGAAGCCGGCACCTACCTTCAGGAATGCTTCCTTTTGTTCCAGGTGCTTGCTGATCATGGGAGTGACGTGATCCGTCTCGGAATTGGGGCCCAGTTTGTCGGCCCCTCCACACCAGTCCTCCTCTCTCTTGTACTCCTGCTCCAGGCTCTCGAGGACACTGCAGACCTGTGGGCAGAAGCGAGATCCAGGCTCAGAGGGGGCCGCTGGCACCTAAGGGCACGGATCTGCATCTTTGGCAGCATTTTCAGTCAGGCTCTGGGCACGAAAGTGCTGGCCTGCAATCCAAGGCCCCTGGAAGGAAGCAGGGCTCTGTCTTACGTGAGGACAGATGCAGGCCTTTCAAAATGAGGACGAAATAATAGCCGAACCACCTGTCTTTCAGGCCATATAATTAAATGAGAGGCAGAGGGGTGCCTTCTTGTGCTTTGATACCTAAGGTAAGCAAAAATTATCTTCGAGGAATGCTTCTCTTCTCAGCTGGACTTGGACTTGGCTGGTTCCATCACGACTGAGGAGTTAAAGGCTGAGCTGTCCACTGAAATTAAGCTCAAAATAAAACGTCAGCGGGGAGGCCCAGGGCCAGAGCCCCCTCCCTACCTGCTCAGAAGTTTTGTAGAAGGCGACGGAGGCGTTCACCAGCTTGAGGCGGTCTTCCATCTTGAGCATGAGCTGCTGCCAGTGAGAGGCGACCTTCTCGGCGCAGTCCCTGATCATGTCCATGTCGTAGTGGTTGGCCTGCAGCATGGCTTCGGCCTTCTGCTGCACCTGCAGTGCGCTCTGGTGCGTTTTCTAAGGAAGGACAGCAAAAAGGGGGAGCATTTAACAGGGCACCCCGCATGTGCCGCAAAGGACCCAGGTGGGCCAGGGTGCTGCTGTTCTGCTGGCTTTCATAGAAGCGACCTCAGTTAGCACGGGTTAAGACACTTCTAAAAACATACCAGATAGTTCACTTAAAAAAAAAATGAAAGTTTTCATGCCTGGCAGCTACTGTTTCTATTTAAATGAATTAATGAAGGGTGAAGGCATGAGGAATTTCCGGAACAGACCACAGCGTGGGGCGCTCAGCCTGAGAGAGCAGCCACCTTTCACAGCCAGTGCTCTGAAAAGCCGCTGAAATGTTCCAAGTTGATTATCCCCATCCATCCTTCTTATAACAGCAGCCGCAGGCAAATGAACAAGTGTATAAAAGGGGGTGGAAGTGAGTACTTTTATTTTCATTTTCAACTTTAACTCTGGACCAGCATAAAAAGTTCTCAAGAACTATTGATTTTTTTTTTTTTTAAGGAAAAACGTCATGAAAAGCTAAGAATAAACCAACAGTTTTCTCTGGAGGTTGGTGCCATGGTGAACCTAGCAAAATAACAGGACAGCCCGGAAGACCCCCACTCTCACCTCCTCACTCAGAGACCATGAGAGGGGCTGAGAAGCCGGGCTCTCTCATGAAGACACACGCCGCCGGGCGGGGCAGCGGGGGCGGGTCTCTGCGGACACGCTCTTCTATTTCTTAACAATGGCAGCATTTTATATTTTGTCTGCAAAGGAGCTAATGATTCCATACAACTCTGTACCCAGTATAGTCCCCACAGCAGATCCAGGACGTGCTCTGACAGTTTAATTAGTAGGAATCACTTGGCACAGTGCACACGTTTCAAAAGATTCCTGCGGTCTGGGCTGCAAAAAGATGTGTTAATGTGTGTCCATGGTACTGTTAGTTAAAAACTAATCTAGGGAATAAATTCATAGTAATTCCTGTGGCTTCCTTCCCTGGTTGACAGTATTCAGGGTTTGGCACAAATAATGACCCTTTTTATTACAAACTCTTTTATTTCAAAATCATAAGCATGTAATTCTGTAACACAACAATATCACACTCAAGCACACTATGTGACATTTTAGGTGAAATGTTCAAATTAAAACTATGAATTATTACATTCACATTATTACCCGACCACCCGCACTCAAGCAGGTGTTATTTCTGCCAGACCCCGCATATGTAAAGAGAGAGGAAAACAAGTTTTCTGTAATGAAGTGCTCCTCTACCCTTCACTTAACCTTGAGACTGCCTGTCAATTACTGCTGCCCCCCGGGATGAAAACAGTCACCCACCCGCTGTGAGAGTGAGTCTGAGCAGGTCTCAGGTGGGCCCGAGCCGCCCTGCGGAAGTGCGGCACGGCACTGGCCCTCACGCTCAGGGGGAGCGCTTTCAGCCAGGCTCGGGGGAGCGGTCTATCCGGAACAGTGAAGTGGGATCTGTGCCTGGTTGTGATGAGCCACTAGGAGCTCTCTGTTCGGCCAAGTCTGCTTACATAGCAGGGATGTGCCTATGACACCCGCAAAATATAAAAAATCCTCAGCCAGGACACCAACTTGGGCTCCCGGGTGCAGGCTCCTGACCCGGGAAGGTGCCTCCAGCCAGGGCCGTCTCAGCGGGCCTCGGGGCCCTTTGCAGTGAGGCTGGCTGGTTGGCGTGCACGGCCGCTCCACTGCAGTCGCCAGGCTGTGGCCTTTCCCTGGAATAAACTGTCGATTTGTGAGCACTGCCGTTTTCCGTCCCACTGACCCTGTTTTGGCTTCTGGGCTCAGAGCCACGTGAGGGGATTAGCAGGCTTGCCTCCAGGCTGCGAAGACCCACCAGCTGGGAGCTGGGTCCAGCGTTCCTACCTCTATGGCGTGCTGGAATTGCTCGTGCTCCCTCTGCAGCTGCTCGGCTTCCTGTAGCGAGCTGGCCGTGATGAGTCCTGCGTTCAACATCGACTCTCCGTTGCGGATCCAGCCCAGCACCTGAAACGTTACACAGGGTACTCCAAGCAGCGGCCCTTCCCCGGGCAGCCTGTGGACCAGCAGCGAGGAGGTCCAAGCTGGCAAGGTGGTCACGCTGTTCACATCAGCTACAAAGCGGTAGTTTCCTTAGGGCCCTACGGCCATCTGCCTGCTAACCTGCAGCAGTACGTGATTGTAAGTGTTGCCTTTTTAAATGAATCCTGTTATTTTAGCTGCAAATGGGAGCTGGAAAGGTAGAGGGTCCAGAGGATGGTTATTAGTCCACAGGTCAAAACAGACTGAGGACCACATATTAGAAACACTATCACCAAGAAGAATTCTCTGATGATATTTTAAAAAAGTATTTTTCATTCCTTTCAGTCCTAATGAAAATGCAAAATTGGCAAACTGCTTGATAAAAGAACTATTTCATATCAATAACAAGTTTTCCAATTTAGTATCAGTATTAAGTGGCACAACAACCAAAGTGTGAATGAAGCTGTACTATAGTGCTCAGGGCCACACCATGAGCTTCTCAACTTCATATACAAAGAAAGGTCAATTATGGCTGCAGAAGTCACACAGACTGTGGAGGTCATTCGGTAGTTACTTGTGGCCGAGACCGCTCATTACCTATTTTCCCTGTCTCCTTTACTCAGAAGACTCCAACTGTTGGGGACAGCTTAAAACAAAACCACTTCTCGGCCCCTATTGCAGCCTGGCTACAGATACGACACAGTAATTCTAGCCACTGAGATCCAAGCAGTCACTGCTGGGGAGTTTTGTGAAAATGTTCTTTTGATACGCACGTTGCCTCTTTCTTGTTATGCTTTCGCCTTCCTGATGTCTGGACCATGGCGGTGATGCTTAGGGCTACAACAGCCATTTGGCGACCATGAGGAAAAGGCCACTGTCCTCAAGCTCACAGCCTAACACATCACGGGGCCACTAGATGGACACCAGCAATCCTACCACCTTCTGAGTCGGTGTGTGAGGAAATAATTGTTTTAGCCACTATTTTTGGACTCTGTTACTCATCAGGCCAATGCAATTCCTAATGAATATGTTAGTCTATTCCTTTATTTCTCAGATTGTTTTCTCAAAAACTATTTTATTTTTGGCAAGGAGGAGCACTTTAGTAACTGTTCTTTATAAGGCAGGTCACCTACTTCACTCATTACACAGGAGATCAGCAGGCACCTTTTCAAGACTTCTGTTCAATAACACACCTGCGTTAATGTGAGCACTGCACCGTGCTCGTGGTCTGGGGGCAACTAAAGTCCCCTCCAATCAGACTAACATGCACTCTTCTGCGCATCTGCCACAAAGCTGTACTATCCCTGCTTTGGGCCAGTGTCTAGTGGTTTTGCTGTGCACGAGACTAAATGTCACGTACGTGCTGAATGTGCATGCGCGTGGAATCCCACGGGCTCTGAGCTGAAAGCGATTTCTTCCAAAGTTCCACTTTATTTTGCCTTGCTATATGGCAGTACAGACAACACAAGAAAACCCTAGCCATGTACACAGCCTGTGATCCAATCCAGATTCATACCAGTAGATTTGGCAGAAAAACCACCCAGTCAGCTGGACCAGGAAGCAAAGTGTACAGGGTTTCGAGCAAGAGAGTAGCAATAACAAAACAAGCTAAATGGATGTTCCTCTCAAGGGCCCGCCGTGTGGGGCAGCCCTTCCCCCTGCAGCTTGAACACACGGATGCAGGCATTAGGGAGAGGGTGCTGGATCACTTGTCAGGGCAGCCGGGTTCTGGTCAGGGCCCAGCTTTCCCAAGGCTCCCACATCCCGATTACCGCATCCTTCATGAAGTGCGTGTCCGCTGGCTCTCCATCCAGCCCTGTTTACCTGTTTCACTTCCGCCTGCAGGTGGCGAAGCTGCACACACTGCTCCAGGTGCTTGCGATGCTGCTCCGCCGCTAAGTCCAGCTCTTGCTGCTTTTCGTGAAGAAACTCCAACAGGTCCTGAACCCGAGTGGCCATGTCTACATCTCTATCACAAAGCAGCTCCACCCCTGCGGACATTGGATGGAGACCCTAGAACTCAGCTACCATTTCAATTTGTTCTTAGCAGGTAAACACCAGCCTGCTTGTATGAATCGTGTGCCCAGCGGGTGCCAGGCCACTACCCTAAAAACCAAGTTCAAGGACACGGCCAGCAGCGGAGGGTTTACCCCTGCCTTGGAGCATACAGAGGTGCCTCAGAAAGTGTATTTGATGTGTTAAAGCCAAATGTAATGGTGTCTGGCTGACCACACTAAACCCATTTCCTGTTAGTCTACTTCTCCTACAGTAGCTGTGAAAACGTGACATCCTTTATAAATGAGTGAAGTTTGGCTTATCTGCTGTACACCTCGTTTACTTTTTAGAAAGCATTTAATAGTAAGATTTGTGTAAAATTAGTAACATACTATGCAGGTTGTAGCTAAGTAACACTGGAGTTCTCGCTACATTTGTGAGCCTGCAGTGCCATCTCCTGGTAAAACATGTATTAAGAAAAACAGAATGTGAAAACATTTTCCTGAGATTTACATTTTGCTCAGGGAGCTACAGTAGATAGATCATTTATAAAGTTAAAATTGATGTTATTTAAAATAACACCTAAGAATATTAAGGGTAAGAGAGCACTGACTGTAATGTTGGATGTGACTGTATTATCAAGTCATCAATTGAAACAAACTGCATAAGTCCCCTCGGGGCAGGAAGAAGCCACAGCTGACACTGGACGGAATGCACTTCTTACCAGAGGCCTGCACTTCATTGACATACTGCAAGAGGTCCTGCCCTTGGTGGATGACATCAAAGGTCAAGTTGTTCATGGTCAAAGCTTTGTCTGCGTGGTGCTGGAGGCGCTGTTCCGCTATGGTGAGATCTTCCGTGTCAAAGTCATTCATCTGCTGAGAAAGCTCATCGTTCCAGGACTCGAGGTCTGAGATGATCTGACGGAGGAAAGTCTCTGTTTAGGATCAAGACTTAAAAAATAAATGTCTGTTGCAGCAGCTTCCATGCCAAGTAAGGAAGACACAGGCTCATGTGATCGTGTGAAAAGGACAAGCTAATTGAAGGGGCTCTCACTGGCCACAGATGGGATGGTTAGACACTAAAACAATCACCACAGTTGAATTAAATATACTTAAAAATGCATTATTTCCTAATGATGCCTCAAAAAAAAAAAAAAGAGCTAAAAGCCAAGAATTAAATGAAAAAATATTGGTTCCGATGACAAGGAGACAGGGAACTAATCTTTATCCTAAGTGTTAACTATAGAAGAAAATCACGTAAGCATTTAATGGTGAAGTAAAGTTCCCTTTATGGATAAGTCTATTTAAAAGTGGAAAAAATAATAAAATCAGAACACTTTACTCTAATTTTGTTTGAAATTCTAGTAAACTGGGTAAAGATCGTCAGTGCACAGTAAACCTTCAGGAGAAAGGCTGACGCGGAACCCAGGCCGCCACCTCCTACACCAGCAGACCAACCGGAGCCTCCCTGGAGGGCGGGGCCAGGCAGGACACACCTTCCGACGGGAGGAACTAGGGTGTGTGGCCTGTGGAGCTGTGTTGCTCAAACATAGAACCTGAATTCTCATCAGATCTCATCACATCTGACTTCTAAGTTTATAGAAAATACCAGGAAAGAAAGAAAAAACTTCTTGTGGAAGAATATTATACAATCGACTTCAAGGGAACAACATCTCGCACTGGTCCTACTTTCCTTTACCCACAGGAGCAGTAAGCAAATGACTCTGAGAGTCTGAGAACGTGAGAGTGTGCGCAGAACCCAGCTAGGGGAGGGGGCCACGCCACACCTGCGGCTTCCCCAAACTCCTACTGCACAGGTCTTCCATTACAGGGGCCTGGGTCAACATGCACATTACTTTGCTCATTTACTCTTTTACTCTTTTCTTATAGGGGCCTGTAGTCAACATGCGCATTACTTTAATTTGTAAAGGTGTACTTATTTATAAATTACCAAATTTAAATAAGCCAAAAGTCACTGAGAAAAATACTGTTAAAAAGGAAAAAAAATGACCATGACTTTTATCTTGATCTCTAAGGGGAACTTTCTTGCCTAATGTTTGTTCCCTGGCGCTGAGGGTAAAGACACGGAAGGGTGGTGGGAAGACACAGACCGGTGACAGGGCCTCGTGGAGACACGTCAGGCCCGGGCCACACTCAGGTGATGGACAACAGACAAGGATCAATGTGCCAAGCCAGCAGGATCTGAAAACGCTCCCTGGGCATAAAGAAACCCTGGCAATCGCCACGATCAGAGGATCGTTGGGAACAGTCCTGTCCGAAGGTCAGCACAGCTTCTGAGACAGAGGGGCCAAGAAAGCAATCTGTGCCCAAAACAAAGTTCAAGAAAGTGGAAATTATTTTTGGATTTTGACTATTTGGAGAAACACCCTGGAAACAATTTTTTCGAATCTCTCCCAGAATATTTTGAGAGTCTAAGTCCTTCTTCCTAAACACACACACAGTGGAGACTGCTTCCCGTACCTACCCTGCCACAGGATGCTGCAGTCATTACCACGTTTTTCCGTCAACAGGCCAGATTTTACCTGGCCATCTGGGGGCTGAAACAGCAGTATCCTAAGCCACAGAAAATCTCTATCCATTTCTGAGACATGGAACTGCTACTCCAATTGACATACAGAGATATGGAGGACTTGAAAAAAATCAGCCAAGTAACAGAGGAATTGGTACCAACACCGTAACTCCAACTCCATGCTTCCCACGGGCAGTGAGGTGAGGCATTTTCCCAGCTGAAACCATAACTGCTCAGATTTTCACGTTTCAGGACCATTCAAGGAAAACAAAGTTCTAAGGATGTGACATGTTCAAAGCTTTTAAACTGTATCTTAGCTGGCCTGCGACTGAATAAGAGGTTTCATTTCCTCCGCTCAGGACAGCACTTGCCCTAGCCTGGCACCCTGGCTTTGCTGAGGCCCAGAGGGATCTTGTGCTTTAGTGTCAGGGAAATGCATGTTCTAGGTTCCTGGTCTCTATTTTAAAACACTGGTTCAGTGAAAGTAGAATCACAATTAATCCCTCCCCTCTTTAAAGTACCATTAATACAAGTGAAGCCAATTTTTCCCCAATATCCAAATGTCCCAGAAGGAAAAACTTCAAGTAATGCTTCAGACTGCTTTGTGTTCCTTTAACTGCAACTATTTAATATGCAACTAAATTTACAAAAGCAATTCCTCCAAAGTAGAGGTCAGAGAGGAAACCCGGCGGCTGGGGCCCCTGCTCCCACGAGGCTGCAGGCCGGGCCTGGGCGTGGCGGGTCCGAATCCACGGAGGCCAGCACGCCTCTCCGCCATGTGGCTCTAAGTGGACTCACCTGTCAAGACTTTAAGAGGAATATTTTTTAACCAGAAACATGTGCAGGGTTTAATGCTTTTCTTGTCATTAACTGATGGTGACGATGATGATGACGAACACAGCCAAGAAGGCCTTTCTTTCAGGAAAACAGTGATGGGAGTTTAGACAATCACCCGACCAAAAGTCCCCGCAAAAGGCCCGCACAGGGTCTGGCCTGGCCCCCACAGGGCGCGCGGCACTCTGAGCTGGGCCGTGGACAGGCCCACATCAGCGGAGGGGACCCCAGGCACGCTCCGCAAAGCCCTGCTCTCTCGCTCTGCCCGTGGGAGCACTTAGGGTCCGGGCCCATGTGTCCTCAAGGCACTACTCGAAACCCAGGACAAGAAATAAATGTGCAGAGAGTATCCTCCATTCACCCTGGTCGGCAGTCACAGGGACTCCCCGGTGGCCTGTCCCTGCCACCAGCTCTGCGGGGCTGAGGGGCAGGCCCCAGGAAACTGGCCTCCGGGCTGAAGTGAGTTTTGGTTCCTTTCATCATGTTTCAGACAGACTTGGTGTCATCCAATAACACTTCCTTCTGCTTTGCACTTCATCAAGTTCAAAAACAAAAAAGACCTCCCCTGGCACAGAATTAAGAACCACACTCCTTTTTCTGAAGAAAAATAAAAGAAACCTGAATTGCTTTCTCCTAGTCACATATAAAGTATAAAAGCCAAGTTTTAAGTAAGAATTACAGACCATCTGAGGACACTTCTGTGGGAAATAAAAATTGGGTTTTTATTTCTACTCCCTAAGATGCTATCACCACATGCTTAGCTCATTCCCAGGCTTGGACAGAGGAGAAGGGGTGAGGGGAGGAGGGGAAGCCCGGGGAGGGAGGGAAGGAGAGGCTCCCTCCCTTGGGCTTGTGCCCTGCCTCACTGACAGCCAAGTGCTGCTGTGCAGTGAACGAAGTGGTGAGATGTGCTTGTTGTCAGAGGCTCTGCCTGTGACCCCCTTCCACCTGGCTCTGCTCCACCCTGCTGGGCAATGGGGGCCCTGCAGTCCCCTCTGCCTCCACCAATTTCAGCTTCAGATGGAGCAGCTGAGGTCCCAGCTCCCTGTAAGCTGCTGAGGCAAATGGTTTCCCCCTTTTATCCTCTTCATGCCAAGGCCAAGGGAGAGGACCCAGGAAGGGAGCCGGGCAGGGGACCAGGAGGGGACGCAGGAGGCCCCTGGCAGACAAGGGCAGGGCGTGGGAACACTCACGTCAATGGCATCCCTCTCGAAGATGCGCAGCTGCAGGAAGAGCTCGAGCTTGATCTTGCGCTCCTGGAAGAGCTCCTCCATCTGGGCCTGGGCCTCGTCCAGCTGCTGCAGCACCGTCTCGATGTGGCTGATGGAGCTGTTGTGTGGGGTCTTGTTGCTGGAGATGGCGGAGTCCCTGCAAGGGAACAGAGCAGGGAAATGGGGGTTTCACAGAGACAAACAGGAGCTGGAGGAGCAGGTCTCAGTGTCAGATACCAGATCCGGAGGCTCAGGGCTTGGGTGGGGGGCGGGGGGAGGAGGGCCAGCAGGAAGCGGGACTGCTTGTCTCAGAAAATGGAACAGGCAGCCCCTCCCGCAGAACAACAGCGGCTTCCTCCTCCGAGCAATGCTCCAGACCTGAGGACGCACCGAAGAATTTCCCATTTCCTCCCAGTCGCTCTTATAAAAAAAAAATCTAATGATTAAGTAAAAAAATCCAATCATTTCAGCAGAGTACCATTTCTAGCCAGTTCTCTCCTTAAGGACAGAGAAGAGCTCACACCTGTTTACTATAAATGGTAGTTATATTGGCAATGAGAGGTTGAACTCTGATGCATCAGTTAAGCCTCTGCCAAGTAACTTGCCTGACTCCGCAAAGTCAGCATCACGTGAAGTTATCGCCAAGGATTCAACAAACTGGCCTCTCACAGAGTCAGGAGACGATATTTACACATAAATGGTCCCTGGGACCCAAGAAAAGGAACCTGCTTCCAGCCCCAGGACTGTCCCCTCTTCCTGCCACGAGATCCAGGTGCCACCCCACAGCCTGGCCTGCCCGGGCCACAACTTCAAGAAGGGGAACATCTCACCACACTCTAGAGACAGGTCACTCGGGGCCTAAAGGACACGGTCCTGGGGGGGTTAAATTAATCTGAAGTAAAAGCTGAATTCTGGGAAGGTTTATTATTAGTCAATGCTGTAATGAGAAAAATTACAGAGAAAAAACTGTAAGAAAGAAAAAAAGAAAAAAGAAGCTACTCTCCATGATGTCACAGATGCTATTTGTGCTCTACATAGTTAGACAAAGAATTATAGCCAATTCTTCCAGAAAGTGAGGGGAAGGGGAAATCGCTGGCAGCATTTCAAAGTGTTTGTGTCAGGCTGGAGGACAGGGCGGCTGGCTCACCTCAGCTGCTGGATGAGGTCCTCCCCTTCCTTGATCACGTTGACAGTCACTTGCAGGGTCGTCTGCTGCTGCTGGCCGAAGCGCTTGATGAGGTCTTGCACAGCCTCCACGGACTCGGCGTACACGTCGTCCAGCAGCTCCTTCTGCAGCTCCTCCAGCCATGTCCACAGCTGGGGGAGGAGAGACCAGTGAGGCCGGGCCCCGCTCCACTGCAGGGCCCGGGGGTGTGGAGGCTGGGGGTGACGGGCTGGGAGGGGATCGGTGGCAGCTTGCCCCAGGGAGGAGGGAGGGAGGGAGAGAAGTGCCCCAAAGAGTCCGAGAGCCAGCAGAAGAGGCACAAAAAAACGCAGTGTGCAACCTCTGGGTGGTGAGAAAGTAAACAGGCAGAGAGCCGAAGGGGACTATCACAGGAGAGAAAAAAAGAAAGGGATGAGAAGCCACGCTTTGCCACTCTTCCTAGGCTCTGTCTGGGTGCAACAGAAATCTGAGAAGACCCCCTCCAACAACAGAAGCATCTGCTACACGTAACAGGCTTTCTTTCCCGTATCTTCTGGATGGTTCTTATTTTATTTTTAGCAAGGGCATTACAATGCATTATTAATTATTACAGCACTGCACAGACCCGGGAACTCCACAGGCCTCAGAAAAGGAAACATTTAGTGTGGTGGAATAAACCCATCACCAGGCCTGGCAGGGGACCCGGATATGGCACTGCGCGGTGACCGCACCCAGCTGAACAAGGTCCACCAGTCACAGCTCAGAGTCTGCATGAAAAGAGTGGGCACTGAAACCACTTAAACACCTCCTTTGTCACCACCATTGAAAATGTGTCCCGGGGCTTGGATGGCCGAGACAACTTGGCTTTAGGTCTGGTGGGAGCAGAGCACTCCGCCTGCTTCTGGGAAGTCAGCGCCTCCTCCAGGTCTCTGCGGGGCCATTCAGTGAACCGAAAAAGACGGTTAATTAAGCTGAGCTGGCCCTGGTGGCTTGGAAGTGGTTTGAGTGGAGAAAATGCTTCCTGCTCCCTCCAGTGCCTCACACGTGTGCGTCACCAGCAGCTGCTGCCTGAGCTATGGTGACACAGGGCCCAGAGGTGCCCCTGCCACTGTCCAGCCATGCTGGCCTTGGTGGCTAACACAGCACGAGTGCACTCACCAAAACAAGTTGTTTTGTGCATTTAGTCTCATTCCCATGCTCATCCTTTTTGAAAACTGCTTTTCTGGGGTGTAAATGCCACACAATAAATTGCACCTTTTTAAAGTGTACAGTTGGCTAAAGTCTGACATGTGTACATGCCCATGAAAATGTCCCTGCTCTCAAGCAAGTGTCTCCTTGGCCCCAGGAGTCTCCTGGTGCCCTGGGTAACCCCTCCGTCTGCCTCGGCCCTCCTCCCTCCCCAGGCCATTGCCAGTCTGCTTCTGGCCACTGCAAATTTGTTTGCATTTTCTTTAAAAATCATATAAATGGAATTATGTGATGTATACTCTTTTTGGGGGGCTGGCTTCTTTCATGCAGCATCATTATTTTGAGACTCATCCATATACTGTGAGCATCAATAGTTCGTTCCTTTTTCTTGTTGAACAGCACCCGACCTTGCACATATCCCACAGTCTGTCACTCATCTGTGGATGACCGCTGGTTTATTCCCAGCTCTTGGCCATAACAAACACAGCTGCTCAAAACGTCTGTGTATGGGCTCTGCACGCACCTATGCTTTCTACCTGTTAGGTACCTATCTGGGTAGAGAGTGGCTAGAGCATATGGCAGGTGTGTGCTTAACTTTTTAACAAACCGCCAAGTTGTTCTACCAAGCATCTGTACCACTTCCATTCCCACCAGCAGTATGTGCAAGTTCTGATTCCTCCGCATCCTCGCCGACACTGGCAGGGCTGGTCTTTCTATTGTAGCCACTTTAAATGAGTGATGTCACTATGGCTTTAACTGGCGATTCCCCAAGGACTACTGATGGCAAACCCTTGTGTAGCTTTTACGAGTTCTTCTGCTGTCAGACCATATCTCAGCTGGAAACAGATGGCTCCTATCAGGCCCACGGGTATTTTAAATACAGCAGGCCAACTTAAAGATAAGGGAAGTGCTGGGCCTCAGAGATCACTGCATTTCTTTGACACTCCTTTGCTACACAAGAGATGCTCAATATCACCACGGCCCTCCAGAAGTTATTATGAAGGTGGTCAGAGAGAGAGAGAGAGAGCGCGCGAGCAGGACTGCTGGGTGATCAGCAATGTTCTGTACAAACTTAATTACCCTAAGTACGATGACCCTCTCAAAAAAACTGTCAAGATCTTCCAAAAGAAACCAAGCATGTGCCAGCAGGCATTTCTGAGCAATACTGAACAGTTTACCAAAACAAGGTTGTAATATTTTTCTCAGTCAAAATACTTAACCAAACACATCCATGACATGTTACCTAACAGGGAGACTTTCTGAAAGGTGACATGGCCTCATCAGCCTCATGGTGACCCGCTTTCCACATGCCGGGGCAGGTGACTGGCCACTCACTCGCTCCCAACAGAGAGAGCCTTTCAGCAGCACTCGACCACTGTGGCCCTCCCGCCCTCTGATCCTGGCCTACAATGAATATTTACGAAAAAGCGGACCTTTGCAACAGCATTTCTCCTGCTGAAAACAGAAAAAACCACATTCCTTCACTCCCTTCTCTCAGAGTCTTAACTATATCTTCCACCTTAGTCCCCCCCATGCTGCACTGAGGCTGCCCCACCTGGTCACTGTGTAACGGGGCCCAAGAACAGGTGTGTCCCCTCAACCCCAGCACAGCACCCCTGCCTGGGACTCAGCCCCAGCAGCTAACAGATGAGCAGAAAACAGAGAACACTGAAGGAATCAATGGAAGGACACTGCGCATTAAACTGCTGTTTCTTTGGAAATGGTGCTGCCTCAGCATTTTATGCTCATTCAGTGGAGCTGAATGATTTAAGCGAATTCATATCTAAAAAAGATTGCTCTTCTCTTGTGTAATCTAAACACTGGCCCTGACTAGAAGAAAGGTGAAGGAGCCAACTCCCCCACAAATCCACGGGAGACAGTGTCTGGCGGACACGTGGGGCAACGAGCTGGTCTTTGAAGACACTGAGGGCCGGAGCCAGTGCAGCCTCTAGTTCTAGCTACAGGATGCTTTTAAGAGCTAGGATCTCATAACATGGGTAGAAGTTGAATCACTTCTTTTAAATTTGTTGAGAAAACACAAATGCAGGTTTTTAAAAGCCCACCAGAAAAACACAGCAATGTCAGCAATACAAGATGAATTAAGGAAGCTGGGAGAGAATTCGCAGGGCCTGGATAAGGCACACCTAGTGTACAGGGATCTCAACTACCCTCTCGACCCCATTCAAACAGCTGGGTCCAGGATGCAGGGTGTGGTGCCTGCTGGGTGGAGATGTCTGCAAAATTCCTCTTCTCCAGCAAATACTACCATTCGCTACTACCACCGTTAAATACCACTTAAATTGCAAAACCATTATAACAAGCCTTGCTTCTTTACAAATGCGTAGCTGTGCTTCTATATGACTCCGCTGCCAGGGCGTAAGAGTTCACGTTTTATCTACAAATCGTTAAAGTAAAATACTTCTCATAAGAGAGAATGCGGAATAACATCAAGAGCATGAGTTCTGAAGTCAGGTTGCTGGAATTCAAATCCTAACCTACTCTGACTTACTACCTCCTACCTGTGACCTTGGGTACCTGTAAACTGACACCTGGATCCACGTGTCAGTTTATTCTTTTGTAAAATGGGCATGATAATAACGCCTACCTCACAAGCTGCCAGGAAGATTAGATAAGGTGAGGCTCCCTGAGTGAAGAGGTAAGTAAATGTTAGCCACTACTATTAGTTCTGTTCTCACAAGGAACATTCTAGTAAGAATCACAATTAAGACATTTTAAAAGTCTTCTGTCTCTAGGTATTTTTCAAAATGTATCTAGGTTCCTGCCAATTGTTCAAAATATGTCACTTAGTCTGGTCAGCTCAACACCATCCCACGGTTTGTTCTTTTACACCTAAAAATAGGGCAGCCTGAGGAAGAGGTGCTGCAGCGAGCCTGCTGGCGTCTATGGAAATCACTTCCCCTCGGCTCCAGGGGAAGCGCCGTGTGTACTTGTGTGCGAAACCTCTTCCCTTCCTCCTGGTAATTTTGTTTAGAAACCGGCTTATTCCCTCAACATCCTGGCCCTTTCATGCTCGTCCAACACGCTCGCCTGCCTGGCAGTGGAGGCCCAGGGATGGGCCCCGGCTGTGTGGGAGGAGGCAGGGGCCAGGCCTGGGATCCAGCAGGTGGAAAGGGAGAAGACTAAGGGAGCGGGTGTGAGGTTACCTCCAAACCCACAAGGGTAAAATGCCCAAAGGTCTGCTGTCCCTTTACAAATGTTCTGTCTGGTCCAACAGAAAAATTCACCTTCAATTTGGAGAGAAAAGTCTCGGAGAATAGTCTTTTCTAACGTCAACAGGAGACGAACTGGTGCATGCATAATACGATAGGATTCAGGCAAAGTCTATGTTTAAACTTTGGGAAGGGTACATGTGACTCCTAAAATAACCTTTGGACAAAAGCAGTGAGAAAGCCTCTAGGAGGCCTGTGAAATTGTTATCATAAACTTCCCAAATGTGGAAAAAACTGCACTTCTGTGCATGCTGTTAATTTAGCATAAAAGATAAATCTTTGCTGGAGAACAAGAGAGGAGTTGCATCCGATGAAAGCTCTCAGCAGAACTCTCAGTAAGGGAACTGTGGCCCAGGCCTCCCGCTCCCCAGGCGGCCAGAGTTAGGTAATGCTGCCCCCTAGAGGCCCTCTGAGTTGTGGCCAGGAGCATCCTGTGGCAGAGAACTTGAACTCAGCCCACAAGTGGGTGCAGGTGTGTACAGACCCGGTTCACACACCAGGATCCACAGCGAAGGCTGGGCTATGGGAATACAAGGAGGCTTTGGTGAGACACTCCTATGAAGACAGGAGAGCCTAGTCCTGAATCCGGTTCGGAGTCTGAGCCAGCTGCACCCTTCCCACCAACTCTGGGCTGGATGAAACCTGGAGGAGGAACCTCACTCTGCTAAGGAGAAAAGCCCTGAGAAAGCCCCTTGCTCACTGACGGGAGAGGGGGGTCCCACCAGAGAAGGCTCCTACAGGAACTCATTGGGGAG